CATTTACCAACCTATCCCCAAACCAGCCCCACTGACCCAAAAAACAGCATTCAAAGATGCTGTCCAGAATCCCTATTGGTACAACTGTTCACTTACAAATGCAAGGATTGAATCTTTTGGTTCAGGATTTCTCTTCTAGGTATGACTTAACTGACATAAATGCATAATCAATGCAATGTCCCAGCTGAAAATGGCCAGTTGGCGGCAGTGTGGAGCAGCACCTCATTTTCTTATAAACCACTCCCAGATTGTATCTGGGATGGATGTAGCCTAGGGAATAAGTATGTCCTGAATGGAGCCTTAAAGTGTCCGGTGATAATAGTGGGGACAAACAGATTTCCTCCTACTGAGTAGTTAAGTGTAACAGGAAGGGAAACCAAGGAGTCATCACAGAACTCAGCTACTAAAGATGAGGAAGAGCTAACAAAGACATAGAGGAGTAGAAAGGACATTGTAACTGGTGGTTGGATGTGAGCAAGGGAGCTTCCTTCCGTTGGGAGAATTCAGGGTTCAAGTAGGGAAACAGTCAGAAACCCACTGAAAGCTGAGGAAACTGTGCATAGAGAAAAGGGATTTTTTAAGAGGTAATTATCTGCAGAAAGGGAGCCTGCACATAAGAGAATAGCTTCATGCAGACTTTGGCCCAACTCTATGATATAACTTTCCAAGTAATGTTTTCCTTCAAAATATATATTTTGTTTTGAATTTTAGAGCTCTATTTTGGTTTGGCATTGTTATATGCCTAGCAACCCCAAATCTCCTATGTCCTCAATATTTAGATGAAAGTAAAAACTATTTATCAGAAATTAAACAGTCCTCGTATCTAAATATGCTTTTATTTTTTGGAAAAGTTAATGAATTCAAGGGAATGAGTATAGATGTTAGAAATAAAAATGGGGGTATCAGTTATAGTTAAGAAAATTATCAAATGTAAATTATTCCTTTTTTGTTAAGCCTTATAAAATATGTGATACTTATTCACATTGAAGTTTTAGTTAGCTAATTATATTGTACAAAGATATTTTTGGCCCTTTAAAGGTTATTTTCCTACATTAAGAAAAGATTTCTTATATTAAAAACTTTTTATTGTGACTCAGGTTTTATGTCTCTGCAGAGACACACATACATAGGTGTTTTTCTTTGTGCATTTGTTTTGCACAGGTAATGAGGTTAAATAATGCCCTAGTATTCGGGTCAACTAATCTTTATGATAGCTAAATTAAGGAAAGCCTTTGGTGGACAAAAGAAATCACATTATATTTCTTTGTATCTTTCCCTCCCTCTTCCCCTTCCCCAGCACTCGACTAAAGAACCTCTCTTAGTCAGGAAATCTTATGTAATGTTTTGAAAGTCTATTAAGAAAACCAAGATGAAACTCTCAGGCAGATAGAACACAAAGCAGTTCTCATATTTGTTGGAATGGTGATTTATTTTCACAATGTGGTGCTGAAATAATTTTTATTTTCAATACTTGTAGAGTCTTTCCACTCAGAGGAGCCTTATTGATCTTGAATGTGGAAAAGGCACCCGTTCAGGGCTGTAATGAATGTCGTATGCTAAGTTTTACTCTAGGAAATTTGGTTTTAGTTTTGATGACACCTGGTGTCAATGGAATGCAATAAATGTTTTAATACTGCTTTAAAATGTTTGGGCATTTTCCTTTAACATCATCAACTACATTTTCCTCCTGGAAAAGCCTTATTATTTTCTGTTTGGAATAAAGAGAAAAATAATTGATAAACTAGATATTTTTGTCCCAAGAGCTAATCAAGTTTCTCTTTGTACTCAGTGTATAGAAGAGACTAAAGGAAGCTTAGCATTACATTGTCTTCATATGAAGAGTAAGTTTTTTCCTATTTGAAATTCAGAGACAAATCTATTGAATTTTATTTATAAATTTCAAAGACCACCTCAAATAACCTTGCAAAAGTAGTTTGCAAGTACTTTAATTTTTCCCATTTTATAGCCATGCAAGTGTACCCCCCCCCCCGCCCCGCCCAACACATACACACCCAATTGTATAAAAGTAAACCATAATATAAACTATGGTCTCTTTCTATTAGGAGAAGAAACATTAGCAGCAATTCTAAACCAAGATAGTGATAGGTTTTTAACTGAAAGAATTTTAAGTTAAAAGGGTTTCAGGATGTCTGAATTTTTTAATGTAGCTGTGAAAAAATATTCTTGCATTCCTAAACGATTTGATAATTGATTACTTTTGACCTTAGTTATTTGGGGGGCATAATTCTTTTATTACTACATAAGTAAGTATTGATTCCACCTCCTTATATTAGTATTTTTACATTTGCTAAACACATGTGCACACACACATTTTCATTTGAAGTCATATAATTCGGGTAGTGAAATATTTCACTCTTCTGGACGTTTAAGAAAAATTCCTACTCAGTGATGCAACATTAGGCCGGTACTTGAGCAAAATTAAGACAATCCCTAGACTTATATTCTTTTTGACAACTGACTTCACTACCATATGTGCAGTGCAACAGTGACATCTTAAGGCCAAGTAACTGGAGCTCCTTTAGCCAGAGAAAGACCTTGAATTGGGATTTGTTTTCACAGAAATTCCATTGTATTATCAAGTAGTTTTCAAGTTTACAATTTTCAGTTGATAGGTCTTTATAAGTGCTTCTTTATTTATGACTTCTTTGTGAACATTTTAACGTGCACTAGTAAATACTAACATTTTACATAAACATATTGTATATTAATGCATGCATTTCACTGCATAGTTTATTGACATTCCTCTTGTAAAGCTTTTATGGAAGAAACAAGCCACAGCAGTATAGCAAAAGAGGCTGAATCTTTATATATTGGGGCCTTTTCTGTCTCTTTGCTAGCCTAGGTGGCTGTATACAAATTTGAGTGGGAGGGGGCAGGAAACACCTCTTAACATTTAAGGTTTTCTACATGGGTGAACTCTAGCCAATTCAAAACTACTTACTTACTTTATTAAAAAATTTTACCATTTTATAAAAAAATAAATCATAACATGTTTAATTGAAATGGCTGTATTGTAATTAATATTTTGAGATAATTGTGATTTTGAGCTTAAATTATACATAAAAATTGTCATTTTTGTATGTGTTAAAAGAACTACAGTACCACAATTAACAGTACTTTTTAGTTGAACTACAGAATGATGTAAATAAAACTGAATGAAGACATTTACTACTTTATTAACAGACCGTGAATGTACTTAATGGGTTTTTTATTTTTTGCAGTGTGAGACCATAACAAAGTTGAAAGCTGCTTTCATTTTATGTGCAAATAAGTCCTATGAATCTATATTTTAAACTTACTGAATCAGTGAAATTACTTGGTCAGTTAATTTGCAAATGCAAGCTGTATTCTGCAGTTTTATTTTATGTATTGACACTAAACGGCAAAGGTGTACAATGTGATTAGAATGCATTTTGAAGATGCTTTCTGTACAGATAAAAATACAGGGACTAAAATAATGCTGTGCAGTGTATAGCAGAGCCATTTTTCGGCTTTGGTGTACTCAACTTTTCCAGTATTTAAAAGTGTTTTGAATAACATAAAAGTCTCCTTATTGTATAAATAATAAAATGTCACCTTATTGTAAAGTGTCTTTTGTTTAATGTCAAAGCAGATTTTTCTTAGTCAACCAAAGTTATAGTATGAAAAAAGCATGTTTATTTTAAACCAAAAACACAAACATTGTAATTAACATTTGAAAATGTAACTTTTATTATGAACATGTACGATATGTCTTTAGTAGCAATTGACTTTTTCATATAAGCATGCCTTGATCATACAAAGCTATCTATCTACCTATTTACCGACCTACCTATCTATCCACCCATCTCTCTATGTAAGTTAATATACATTCTATTGATTGACTATTTAATGGAATCATATGGTAAGTTTTATAATGACTGATCAGCCTAGCCTACTTCTGATATTTCTGATGTAAATAAAAATGTTTATATTTGATATTTATTAAATGAAGTTCACCTATATAACAACTTCCCTTTTAGAAAATTACTGCCTGATTACAAGTTTAATCTTATGAAGATTACAAGCAAATTTTTAAATTAAAGCCCTGGGAAAAAAATATACAAGGTTGGATTACAACACACCAACAGAATAAATGTATACAAATACTTGATTAGTAAGTATTTAAACAAAACACATCTCAAGATTTCTATGCAGTATACATTATTGGTAATGTCCTGTTTCTAATATCTATAGAATAAAATAAGGTCTTCAAAATTAAAAAAGAAAAGAAAAAGTACTTTTAAACTGCTAACACCTTGAAGGGAAAATATGCATATCCAATCTCTTTAAATTTTTTGCATCTAGAAGTACCAGATTATTTTATGGAAGCTTAATACTAAAACATCATTTTTAAAAACCTTGTCAACTTTTAAATTCAAAATGGTGAGAGTAATTATACCAACATTATTTTCTCCACTATAACTATATCTTATGTAGCATTTCTGTGACATGATTTCCTAAAACATGGGGAAAAGGCTAAAGCCATTTCAACTAAATTAAAACAAAAACAATACAATGCATGTTAATTTAAAACTTATACTGAGACCAACCATATCACAAAGTCCTATCAGTAATGAAGTCTTATTTTTAAATGTCAAAGAACAACATTGTATAAAATTCAAATCAATTTTATATTAAACAAAAGAAACTGGACGGTCATACTCAAGTCAATTGGTCACATTATATGTAACAAAAACAGAAATGGGGGAAAAACCATTCTACAAAAACACTTTGTCATTATAAAAATATTAAAAATATTAAACTTCACTAAATAAAAATTCACTTTTGAAGAAATTGTTTTGTTACAATGGAATGAAAATGAGTAGGATAAATCTTATGCAAAACACTCAGAACACTGTTATCACTGTTACAAATGTACACAACACCTTAAAAAACATTCGTTATCAATGTAAGAATTCTAAGAATTAGCATGACCAAGATTATAAGACAACTCCAATTTACGTAGGAATTCGGTCTCTCAAATATTCCAGAATAGCGGCTGTTCCTTTCATTAATATGGCTGCTCTCGGAACACGGAATGGATTTCCATCTAGTAGTAATGTTCTAAGCAAAAGAGAGAAATAACTTTAACACTGTCCATTAGGGAAGCTTTTCTTCTAATTTCATTATAATATTATAAACAAGATTTGTGTAGTGTTTTTTTTTTTTGTCTTTTTCAAATCTAACCATTTAAACAGTTGAAATTATAACTACAACAATAATCAAGACAACATTAACAATACGTACGTGAAAGGTACTCTGCTAAGTAATTTAAATTCACTGATTCAGTTATCTTAACAACCTATAATGTAGGCCCCAATAATATTCCTCTTTTAGAGATAAGGAAATACAAGTTCAGGGAGGTAAGAAAGACTTGTCCAAGATCCTACAGCTATTATAGAGAGGAGTTGTCATCTGAACCATCATTTAACTCATCCATTTCTAAATCTTATAATGACCACATACTAAAAGGTTAAATTATACAGGCTATGTTTACAGTTGTGAGTACGTAAAACACAGTTTATTCCTGTATTATTTTTATTAATCATTGCATTACTTTCCATACAAACAACTTTAAGACTACTTTTGCCCCACCCTGTATTTACACAAGTACAGAATGAGCATACAAGTACTCATTCCAAGGTCTAAAACATAACCAAAATATCCCCCTCCGCCCTGGGAAACATTGACACACCTGCCCTCTCCACCCACCTTGATCAGGTACACACATAAAAATCTATTTACATATTCTGAAATGAGGTCCCAATTTGAGATTTAAGGGCTTGTTAATTGGTTTCTTTAATAATCAATGAAATACCTTAACTTATGAGATAAACTTTTATATTAATTTTCAATAACTTGAGTGTTTGTGTAAACAAAAATTAAAGGAATCACACCACACCTAAATTAAATCTTCAAATACTATGTGCCTTGGGAATTCTTTTAAAGACTGACTTTCTTAATTTATAGAAAAAGAAGTTAATTAACAGCCAATCCTCAGTATTTGCTAATTTGCCTACTCACTAAAACTCATTTGCAACCCCAAAATCAACGCAGCTGACACTTTTGAAAGCCATTTTTTGACACACAATAGAACAGCAAAAAATTCGAGTTGTTTGATGGGCACATTCTCCGCTGAAGTTGAGCATGTGGCACTGCCTTCTTGTTTCAGCTCTCATTCTGTAAACAAGTGTCCTATCCGTGGCCTATTTCATGTGGCATCTTTTTTCATTTTCGTCCTTATTCACTGTTTAAAGTGGCCTGCAAGTGTAGTGCTAAAGTACTCTCTAGTTTCTTAAAAGAAGGCTGCCATGTGCCTTACAGAAAAAATACATATTAAGTAAGCTTCATTCAGGCATGTATTATAGAGCTGTTTGGGCATAGTTCAATGTTAATAAATTAACAATATTAAATAAGGTGTCTTAATACAAACACATTAAAAAAGGGGTAATGTACTGATTGAAAATGTCATAACCAGAGGCTTAAAAATACCTACCTCTTGTACTTCCCCTAGGAGTAACAGTTCAGGATTCGCTAATTTGGTATTTACAGAGACTTTATAGAATACAACTGCTTCCAGTAAGGAGAATCAACTGTACGTGCCTCCTATAATGCACTAATAAGGGCTACCAGAGCAGATGCCAGAGCTGCCCGAGCAAAGTAAAGTATGTCAAACCATCATGTGCAGTTTTCAATAATTATATTACTTCTGACACATTCTGCTTCACTAGTTAGCTTTCTGTTGACATCTCCAACTCCCTGTATAGTCACTTAACAAGCATTATTGGGCACTTTCTATGTTCCAGGTACTGGAACAACTCTTTCTTAAAGGAGGACAAAGAAATGGTATAAATGAGTCTAAACAAAGCAGGATAGAAAATTAGAGAAGTGACTAATTCTGCCTGGAGAATAAGGAAGGTTTTCAAATATGATATTTAGATTGATTATTGATAAAAGCAGGATAACAGCATTGAAGACTAAGGTGAAGCGAACACAGAGAGTGAGGAAGATCATGACCCAGCATGAAGACCATTTGAAATAAATGGTTATAATCCGTACTCAAATTTTGAAAAACCCCATATGCACAGCTAAATGTATTCCCCTGACATTTTACACATTCGTTTCAGGTTACACTGAGTGATGAGAAAAGTATCACTAGAAACAATCAACTACTTTATCTACACATATTAATATATAATACCACATAAACAAAGCTTAAAAAATAAATTTGGTAAAATCTGGAAAAAAGAATTGAGATTCTGGGTTTGTTATCTATTATTTTTAACAGGACATTACAATTTTATTTCAACTTTCCTGGTAGAGTACCGTAACAAAAAACACAGAAACTTCAACAAAGCAATCAAATACATGGAAAATCTTAGTAGAATGAAGTATAATAATTACCTTAAGTTCACACAATTACCAAGCTCTGGTGGAATTTGTAGGAGGTCATTATTTTGAAGGTCCAATGTGACCAGATTCTCCATTATCTTCAATTTTTCAGGGTTCACAGATCCAACCTGATTGTTACTAATTAAAATTGTTTCAAGTGTGGAGATGCGATACAGAACTTCAGGTAGTATTTTGAACCTATTTAAAGATGAACAGCACACCTAAATATATTGGAATCAGAGGCAAAATCATTCCTTCAAACAACGATCTTGTTTCATATCTTGAGATAAAGTTTTCTTTAGTGTAAATTATTTTATATTTGGTTCAAGTCCTAGGTTCAAATTTACCCAGAAAATAAAGAAAATGAACTAATTATGGAAACCTTGAAATATATGTTAAGTGGAGAGATTTGGAACAGTTTCTTTTATTGTATAAAATCAAACAAAAGTTTAGAGTAAATTCTCCAATGTTTTCTTCTTCACATTAAGGAGACAAGGAAATCTTCCTGAGATTCTTTACATAAAATGTCTCTGTGTAGGTATTCTTCCTTAGTTCACTTTTATTATGAAACAGAGTCACTGCCAATATTAAGTAGAAATTTAAGGTTCCTATTTTGCTTTGACTGAAATTTCAAAAATAAATGCATTTTTGGTTCTTGAAAAGATTAGACTATCAGCTTCATCTTCCAAAGCAAGGCTGAAGATGCCACAAAAGAGATAAGAAAACTAATGGTTCTCAGAACAATTAATACAAAATCCTCGAATGTCTCTTGGGGGACAGAGGCTAGGATAGTGTGAGGCAAACCGCATCTCATAAAATGGACTAGAAAAGATAAAGATAGGCTGTAGAACTTTACAACTGTGGCCTTTCACTTCCTTATATTGCCCTTCCTTTGCTGCCTCGATATAAAAAAAAAAAATGTAATAGTAAAGGGTAAAATCAAGGCAGCTCTGTATTTCCAGAGGATTAGGAGTCAATACCTAGGAGTACAGACTAACTAACCTGCCTCTAAATAGTCCCTCCTCTTCTTCTTTCCCACCAACCCATGAAAAGGCATGGCTCACATGCAAAAAAGACATGGTACCCTTACCTCTCATCATATACAAAAATTTACTCTAAATGGATTAAAGACCTAAATGTAAGGGCTAAGACTATAAAATTCTAAAGAAAACAGGACATAAGTCTTTATGACCTTAGATCAGACAATAGATTCTTAGATATAACACCAAAAGCACAAACAACAAAAGATAAATAAACGACCTCATTAAAATTAAAACCTTTGTACTTCAAAGGACACCATCAGGAAAATGAAAAAATAATCCACAAAATAGAAGAAAATATTATAAGTCATATATCCAATAAGGAATTTGTATCTAAAATATATAAAGAACACTTACAACTCAATAGTAAAAGGAAAACCCAACTGACAATTAGACAAAAGATCTGAATAGGCAGGTCTCTAAAGAATATACACAAACTAGAAGCCCGGTGCACGAATTCATGAACCAGTGAGGTCCCTTGGACTAGCCTGGGGGAGCAGGCAAAAAACGGCTCTAAACATCCCCAAAGGGATCCTGGATGATGAGAGAGTGCAGGCCAGGCCATGGGATCCCACTGGTGCATGTTTGGGACCATGGAGAGACACGGGAGATTAGCCAGCCAGGTAAGGATCGCAGGAGGGCTCCAGGGTGTCTGGCCTGTCTTGCTCAGTCCGGATCAGCCAGACCCCTACTGGTCGGAGAGTCTACCCCCTGGTGGTCAGTGCATTTTATATCGACTGGTCGACGGGTCAACAGCCCCCCCTCACCCCCCGTGGTCAGCACACATCAAAGCCATCAGTTTAGCAGCCTTAGTATATCATTAGCATATTGTACTTTGATTGGTTAAATGGATGACTGGACAACCAGACACTTAGCATATTAAGCTTTTATTATATAGGATGATCGATAAGGACATGAAAAGGTGCTTGGCATCATTAGAAATCATAGGAATGTTAATTAAAACTTCAATAAAATACCACTTTTGTCAAAACCGGTTTGACTCAGTGGATAAGAGCTTCAGCCTGCGGACTGAAGGGTCCGGGGTTTGATTCCGGTCAAGGGCATGTACTGTGGTTGCGGGCACATCCCTGGTGGGGGGTGTGTAGGAGGCAGCTGATTGATGTTTCTCTCTCATCAATGTTTCTAACTTTCTATCCCTCTCCCTTCCTCTCTGTAAAATATCAATAAAATATGTTTAAAAAAAAAAAGATACTACTTTTGCCCAGACAGTGTAGCTCAGTGGTTGAGCACTGACCTATGAACCAGAAGATCACAATTCAATTCTGGCTCTGGGTACATACTGGATTTCAGGCTTGATCCCCAATGGGAGGAAGGGGGAGTGTAGGTGGCAGCTAATTAAGACTCTCATAATTGATGCTTTTATCTCTCTCTTTCTGTTCCTCTCTGAAATCCATAAAATATATTTTTTAAAAAGTCAAATAACATTAGATGGCTAAAATAAAAAAATCAAATAAGAATTGGTAGAGATGGGAGAAATCAGAGGATGTGGAGAAATCATACATTGCTGGTGGCACTGTAAATGGTGCTGTCACCTTGGAAGAGTCTAGCAGTTCCTCCAACAGTTAAGGACAGAGTTACTATATAATTCTACTGCCAGGTATATACCTAAGAGAAGTGATAAGATTTGTCCATTCAAAAGCTTGTTCATAAATGTCTAGAGCATCATTAACAAAAAGAACCAAAAAGTTGAGCCGAAACCAGTTTGGCTCAATGGATAGAGCGTCAGCTTGGGAACTGAAAGATCCCGGGTTCAATTCTGGTCAAGGGCATGTACCTTGGTTGCGGGCACATCCCCAGTAGGGGGTGTGTAAGAGGCTGCTGATCAATGACTCTCTCTCATCGATGTTTCTAACTTTCAATCTCTCTCCCTTCCTCTCTGTACAAAATCAATAAAATATATTTTAAAAAAAAGAACCAAAAAGTTGAAAACAATGCAAATAACCATCAACTGATGAGTAAATAAATAAAATGTGGTACATCCAATAAAAAGAAATGAATTACCAATGCATACTACAATTTGAATGAATCTTGAAGACATTATGGGAAAGTGTACAATAGTTTCTCCTTAAGGCAATAAAAATATTGGTTGTAATGATGGTGTCCATATCTGTGAATATACTATAAATCATAATTGCACACTTAAAGGAGGGAAAAAATTACATGGCTCAACTGTTAACACAGAAGTTAGGGTTAACTTTTACCACTTCTCCAAAGACATTACTTAACAATGCAACTGATTAATAATTCAAGAGAGAAATGATAATTCAATTCACAAATAAAAATTGAGAGATCTGAGAAGTACATACATTTTAAAATAATGACAACAAGGGAGATCTGAGGGGGATAAGAGATCAACTGAAGGACTTGTATACATGAATATAAGTACAACCAATGGACACAAAATTCTGGGGAGGGAGGGGATGTATGGGAGGGGGGAGGGCAATAGTATATGTACAAAGATAATAATTTAATTAAAAAATTTTAAAAAATGACAACAGTAGTATAATGTACCTATAAGAAAATAGGTACATTAATGGAGCAGACAGAACAAAAACTTAAAAAACAGCATTTTATTTTTTTTTAATTTTTTATTTATATTTTGAAGGAATATTTAATATTAACTTTGTGAGTTATCTTTTGCATATCAAAGTTACACATTTCAAACAAATCGTCATTTATATTTACAGTATACAAATGCAAAGCACTAATTTCCCACTAAATCATCACTTCCTTAAAATGGTACATGTGATGTTATGAAATCAGCTATTAAGTATTCGAAATAGTGGAAGAGAGGTCCTTTCTTCAGTCTTTTTTTTTTTTTTTAATATATTTTTTTGATTTTTTTTTTTTTGCCTCCCTCCCTCCCTTCCTACACATCCCCCTCCCTCCCCAGAGTTTTATGTCCATTGGTTGTACTTATGTGCATGGATAAAAGTCCTTCGGTTGATCTATTATCTCCCCCAGATCTTCCTCCCCTCCCCGCTGTAATTTGACAGTCTGCTTGTTGATATACTGTCTCTATATCTATCTTTTGGTTCATCAGTTTATAATGTTCTTTATTATCCACAAATGAGTGAGGTCATGTGCTGTTTTTCTTTCATTGACTGGCTTATTTCACTCAGCATGATGTTCTCCAATTCCATCCAAGTTGCTGCAAATGATGAGAATTCTTTCTTTTTTATGGCAGCATAGTATTCCATTGTGTAGATGTACCACAGGTTTTTGATCCAATCATCTGCTGAAGGGCACCTAGGCTGTTTCCAGATTCTAGCTATTGTAGATTGTGTACACAAGGGTTCTTTTTTTTCTGCATCCTCACCAGCACTTGTCATTTGTTGATTAGTTGATGATAGCTATTCTGACAAGTGTGAGATGGTTCCACATTGTCGTTTTGATTAGCATCTCTTGGATTATTAGTGACTTTGAGCATGTTTTTATATGTCTCTTGGCCTTCCTTATGTCCTCTTTTAAAAAGTATCTACTTAGGTCTGTTGCCCACTTTTTTTATTAGGTTGTTTATCTTCCTTTTGTTAAGTTGTATGAGTTCCTTGTAAATGCTGGAGATTAAACCCTTATTGTTGATAACATTAGCAAATATATTCTCCCATGCAGTGGGCTTTCTTGTTGTTTTGCTGTATGGAAGCTTTTTATTTTGATGTAGTCCCATTTGTTTATTTTCTCTTTAGTTTCCATTGCCATATGAGCTGTATTGGTGAAGAAATTGCTTCAGTATATGTCTGAGATTTCACTGTCTTGTAGTATTTTTATGGTTTCCTGTCTTATGTTTAAGTCCTTTATACATTTTGAGTTTATTTTTGTGTATGGTGTAAGTTGGTGGTTTAGTTTCATTTTTTTTTGTATGTATCTGTCCAATTTCCCAACACCTTTTATCAAAGAGACTGTCTTGACTCCATTATATGTTCTTGCCTCCTTTGTCAAATATTTATTGAGCATAATGGTTTGGGTCAATTTCTGGGTTCTCTATTTTGTTCCATTGATCTATATATCTGTTCTTGTGCCAGTACTAGACAGTTTTGAGAACAATGTTTTTGTAATACAACTTGATATCTGGTATTGAGATCCCTCCTACTTTGTTCTTTCTCAGGATTGCTGAGCTATCCGGGGTCTCTTTTTTTACTCCAGAGGAATTTTTGAAGGATTCATTCTAGGTCTGTGAAACATGCCATTGGTATTTTAACGGGGAGTGCACTGAATCTATAGATTGCTTTGGGTAGTATGGACATTTTAATGATGTTGATTCTACCAATCCATGAACACAGTATGTTCTTCCATCTGTTTATGTCTTCCTCCATCTCTTTTTTCAGTGTCCTGTAGTTTTCCAAGTACAGGTCTTTTACCTCCTTAGTTAAGTTTATTCCTACGCAACTTAATATTTTTGGTACAATGGTAAATGGGATTGTTTTTTTAGTCTCTCTTTCTGTTAGTTCACTACTGGTGTATAAAAATGCCACTGATTTCTTGGCATTAATTTTGTATGCTGCTGAATTCATTTATTAAGTCTAATAATTTTTTTATGGAATCCTTAGGGTTTTCTATGTACAGTATCATGTCATCTGTGAATAATGAGTTTTACATCTTCTTTTCAATTTGATACCTTTTATTACTTCTTGTCTAATTGCTATGGCTAGCACTTCCAGAACTATGTCAAACAGCAATGGTGAAAGTGGGCATTCCTATCTTGTTCCTGTTCTTAGGTGAAATGGTTTTAATTTTTTACCACTGAGTATGAATTTGGCTATAGATTTGTCATATAAGGCTTTTATTTTGTTGAGATATGACAAATATTCTCAAATATTCTCAATTTTTTTAAATGGACACAGTAACAGAACCTACCACAGTATCAGTTTCAATGCTACCTCCTTTATCTTCAGGCTTTTGTGAGAATGAAATGAGCAATGCACGTAAAAATATTTAGTCCAGTGTCAGAAGATAATAAGCTCCCCAAAAGTATTAGCTATCCTATGTAATAAAAGCTTAATATGGTCTGACTGGTTTGGGTCAGTGGATAGAGCATTGGCCTGTGGACTGAAGGTTCCCAGGTTCGATTCTGGTCAAGGGCATGTACCTAGGTTACAGGCGCACCCCAGTGAGTAGTGTGCAGGAGGCTGCTGATCAATGTTTCTCTCTCATTGATGTTTCTAGCTCTCTATCCCTGTCCCTTCCTGTCTGTAAAAAATCAATAAAATACATTAAAAAAAAAAAAAAAAAAAGCTTAATGTGCTAAATGTCCAGTCGTCCAGTCATCCATTCAGCCAATCAAAGTGTAATACTGCTCACTGTGACATGTACTGACCACTAGGGGGCAAACAGTTGACCAATCAACTAGTCGCTATGATGTACACTAACCACCAGGGGCAGACGCTCTGACTGGTAGGTTAGCTTGCTGCTGGGGTCCGGCTGATTGGGACTGAGTGAGACAGGCCAGACACACCCTGGGGCACTCCTGCGGTCTTTTCCCAGCTGGCCAACCTCTCATGCCCCTCCCCAGCCCAGATTGTCCACAGGTGGGGTCCGTTGTCCTGGCTTGCACCCTCTTGCAATCCGGGATCCCTCAAAGGATGTCGGAGAGCTGGTTTTAGCCTGATCCCATGGGCCAGGTAGGCCAGGCCAAGGGACCCTTCTGGTGCATGAATTCATGCAATGTGCCTCTATTTCTTAATAATTAATGGTAGTTTTATAGTGTTTAAAGAATTAAATCTAAGTTTCATTTTGGATAAAAATCTCTTGAGGGGTTTTTACTGCTTACATGCCCCAACTTCATTTGTTACCTCCACTTCTCTAGCTCCATACTTTATGGTCAGAGCCATATTATATTTCTTGAAGTGCCCCAAACACAGCATGTTCTCATATCTGTGTGCCTTAGCACATGCTACTTGCTCTACCTGGGGTGCCTTATCCCTGTGTATCTGGAAAATGTCTGCCTATTTTTCCTAAGTCTCAGTTTCAATGCTATCTCCTTTATCTTCAGGTAATTTAAGGAAACACTTTTGTCTGTGCACAATGCTTCCATAGCAATTATATTAAAATGATTAAAAGGATCAAAAAATCTACTACATGTCAGTGGTGGAAATTCTAAGAAAGCAACAACACTTTAAATTCTCTGTAGGACTAAGTGAAAATAAACCTGGATATTTAAATGAGGTAAAAATATAGGGCCTTTTTTTGTTTGCTCTTTTAGTTGTATTCTCTGATTAAAACTACAAATTTTCTATAGAATAATCATTAGTCACAAATTTGTTCTCTTACCTATTAAAGGAAAGATTGATTGTCTGTAGTCTTATCAACGATTCCATTTCTTCAGGCAAAGAATTTAAAAAATTGTTTCTAAATTAGAAAGAAAAAGATGATTTACAAAGAAATTTTGTTCAGCTTCAATTTATAATTAAAGTGTTGATCACACACAAGAAATACACAGCTCTGCTTATCAATCTTCAATCTGATTTGCTTAAGGCTGAGTCCTGAAAACACTAAATCAGTTAGTTACCTCAAGTATTTGATTACTGTGCCAAACTCTAATACCAATATGTATCCCATTAATAATATAGTCAATTCTTTGACAATTGATTTAACAGGACAAACAGTGTTAACTAACCCCTTATCTCCTTCAAACTAGTTAGGCACTATTTCTCCGGATCAGGGCCCTTTAGATCATGTCTATAAAAACCACATTCTTTGATACTACAGATATTTGATTGGTGTTAATACAGAGATATCTTGCATACAGACATGAAATGCTACTGAAAAAATTTTAAAATATTACATAAAACAATTGATACAGGAAAGTAGAGAGATTCTACATATTTAGAAATTTGGAACTTTCTAAACATAGGTATTATGCAAGTCCATTTCTACTCTAAGTTTAGAATTTAAATTTGCACAGTTAATTAAAAAAAAATTTTTTTTAGATCTTATGGTGAACCATGACAAAAACAGAATCTCATTTACATGAGAAGGATCTGGAAATAATGTTAGAAGAAAGGTTAACAAAAAGGTAGAATTATAGAGCTGTATCCCTAAAATAAAAAATATCTGTGAAAAAATTATATCCTGATTGCTATATATTACAATTGAATAACTTTCTCTAAATTATTTCTTTACATTCAGAAGTCAAGTGTAATAGTTAAATTTCAATCTATGTTTTTTTCTTTTCTCTGTACTTTTCTCCAGTTATTTTTATTAAGTTGTACTGAATAACCTACTGCTCATTTCTATCCTTTTCCTAGAAAGTCTTACACCTACTGATATTAGACATAAAAGCATATTTTAGTCACTTAATTAGAAACCTCCGGATATGGTTACAGAAGAAGGCATTCATACATACACACTGAAGAATAGTCAAAAAAAATAAATAAATACACAGCAATGTGGACATGAATTCACCCTTTTTACTCTGTTAATACTGAACTAAAATACAGTTTACACTGTTTTGCAAATGCTGCCACCTGAAAATAGAAACTAATCTACATTTAGTAGGAGCAGAATAAAGTAGATTTGCTTTCATCCCATAAGTAAAAAACAGATATAATTTAATTTATTATTATTTGACTACTGTTTGAGCAAAACAAGAAGAGCTACACTTGAACAAAAAAACACTCCTAAACAATTTATGAACAATATGAAGCCTTGGTAGTAGACATACAGTTTTAAAGCCCATGCAAATAAATTAGATAACTCAAACACATATATTATTACCTTCAGAGAACTGTGATAATTCTGATCCTGTCATGTCAACTTTGAACATAATTAAATTAAACTTCCTACTACATCTGCAGAACCTTACTTTCTTTTCTTTTTGTTGACACTCATAGTGTTCCTTTTCATTATTTCTGGCATGTATGTGTAATATAATATTTTGTAACCAAATAATTTTGTTTTTAAGAGAAGCCATGCTGGTTTGGTTCAGTGGATACAGTGTCAGTCTGCGGACTGAAGGGTCCCCAGTTCGATTCCAGTCAAGGGCACATGCCCAGGTTGTGGGTTGATCCCTAGTAGGGGACATGCAGGAAGCAATTGATCAATAATTCTCTCTCATTACTGATATTTCTATCTCTCCTTTTCTCTTCCTCTGTGAAATCAATAAAAACATTTTTTTTTTTTTTTAAAGAGAGAGGTCATGCCAGCTAGTTGGAATGCCAGTACAGGATAGTTTAATGTTATTTATTTCCAGAAAAGAAACCATATGAAGCAAATACTTTCTACATGTTATTTGTTATTTTGCATAAGCAAAAATCTAAAAAATGTGTTAATATTTTCCAATATCTAATATAATTTTGCCATGTAACCTAACTTACAAATTGCCTACCAATGATAGATATCTGATTAAAACATTTCCTAAATGCTATATTTTAGAATTACCCTAAAATATTATTAATAAGCTAAAGACCAATTTCCAGACTTACTTAGGAAAATATATGAGGGACAGGGCAAAAGTTAGGCAAAACTCAAAGACAAGTTATAATGGAAAAAGTAACGAACAGTATCAATACATACCTGAGATCTAAAAAACTCAACTTCTGAAGCATACATAATTCCAAAGAGATAAAGGAAAGCTTATTAAAACCAAGATTAACATCAGAAACCATTTCTTTCAGTTCTATAATCCTGAAACAAAAATAATTTTTAAATGTTAACAATCAAACCATAAAGGGCAGGCGGGGGAGGGGGGGGGATCCTGTACTATTTCTGTTAATTAAAATCTTCTGTAAATTTTACTTTCCTCATATATACATTTTTTTTTTTTTTAGCATTTTCTCAAATCAATAATATCTCCACATGCCCAAGGATACACTTCACACAAAAGACATTTCCAAATAGATCAACCAACCTCATCCAGGCCCCACATAAGGCACTCACAGATCAACACCCCAGCGCTATACTGATTTAATACATCCAGATCTAAGCCTTCCTCATTTGATTCAGCAGACCCTCAAGTTCCCCCAAAAGTTTCCAGCCATGTCTGAGAGGCAGCTTTGGGAAGGAGGCAGGCGAGGAGCGAGCTGTTCCGGGCCTGGCTGCTCCGGGCCTGGCCTCTGTTGCTCTGGTCAGTTCCACAACCAGCTGCTCCGGGTCTGGCCACTGCCCCCCTCATCCTGGCTGCTCCGGGCGTGGCTGCTGCTGCTCCGGGCCTGACCGAACCCAACCCGGCTGCTCTGGGCCTGGCTGCTTCGGGCCCGGCCACTCCGGGCCTGGCTGCTGTTGCTTCGGGCCTGGCTGCACCTGACACAGCTGCTCCGGGCCTGGCTGCTCCTGGCCTGGCTACTGCTGCTCCATGCCTGGCCGCACCCGACCCAGCTGCTCCGGGCCCAGCCCCTCATAAAAATTTTAATCAGCTTGGATGTGTAACTGATAAAAATAGTTTTAAAAAATAGCTTTAATATTATCTGTCCTGGAATTTCTAGTTATCCTTAAATGCATAATGAAGTTTAACAGACCCTTTATTTTATATTTAAACCAATTATGGACAAAAAAGAAAAGTCAAATCTAGGCAATTTTGTAATGACTTGAATCCATAAAATAAATGGTCAGGCATATATTCTATAACACAGTAGTTTTCTTTTTAGAGTATATTATATAACACCATATGGGTATTTCAAAAAAATTTAAAGTATTATATGCCCACATTTTAAAAGTATAGTATAGTATTGATTATCCTATCATTACATTTAATCATGACTGCAAGAAAAATTATGTTAATTCCAAGGTGTGATAAGCGTCACTACTAAGCAACTTAAGTCAAAGACTTAAAAAGGAAGAACTGAACATTTCTAAGTAAGCCTAATCAAGTTAAATAGTTTAAAAGTATGCTATATATATATATATATTATATATATATATATATATATATATATATATATATATATATATATATATATTGGTCCGACCAACCAGTAGCTATGATACACACTGACTACCGGGGGCAGATGCTCAATGCAGAGCAGAAACCACAGGCATAGAAACATGGAACAGACTGATAAATCCCAGAGGGAAGTGGGGAGTGAGAGAAGAGGGAAAGAGATTAACCAAAGATTTTTATATACATACTAGAGGCCCAGTGCACAGATTGGTGCATGGGTGGGGTCCCTCAACCTGGCCTGTGGGGGTTGGGCTGAAACTGGCTCTGACATCCCCCAGATGGTGCATGAATCCGTGCACTGGGCCTTTAGTTTAACTATAAAAACATGAAATGCTATATATGATTAGCCAAGAAATGAATTAAATTATTGACTATAAATCACTTTTGTCTATATGAGCAAGAAAAAAAGAATACCAAACAGTGTTAAAGAAGATACAATGAAAGATACAATGAGTTTGAATATTTATAGATAGCCATATTCTTTGATTTAGTAAGTCATCTAGAAATCTGGCCTAAAGAAATGTTTTATTTATTGCCATAATCAACTTTATAACATATAAATTTTTCTATATTTAATCTTTATTGTTGAAAGTATAACATATGTCCCCTTTTCCCTCCCAATGACCCCCTCAACCCTGCACCTAACTGCCCCCACGAGGACTAATGCACTATATTCTGTATCCATGGGTTATGCATATCCTATCTAATAAAAGAGTAATATGCAAGCCTAACCGGTTTAGCTCAGTGGATAGAGCATCAGCCTGCAGACTGAAAGGTCCCAGGTTCAACTCTGGTTATAGGCATGTACCTTGGTTGTGGGCACATTCCCGTGGGAAGTGTGCAAGAGGCGGCTGATCAATGTTTCTAGCTCTCTTTCCCTCTCCTTATCTCTCTGTAAAAATATCAATAAAACATATTTTAGCTGGTTTGGTTCAGTGGTAGAGCGTCGGTCTGTGGACTGAAAGGTCCCAGGTTCGATTCCAGTCAAGGGCATATACACATCCCTGGTAGGGGGTGTGCAAGAGGCAGCTGGTCGATGTTTCTCTCTCATCGACGTTTCTAGCTCTCTATTTCTCTCCCTTCCTCTCTGTAAAAAAAATCAATAAAATATATTAAAAAATATTTTTTAAATGTGATGGTTCTATATCACCAATTTTAAAAAATAAAAAAATAATAATATGCAAATTGACCATCATCCCAACACACAAGATGGCTGCCAAAGATGGCCTGCATGGGAGGGCAGTTGTGGGCGATCAGGCCAGGAGAGGAGGGCAGTTAGGGGTGACCAGGCTGGAAGAGGGCAGTTGGGGGAGACCAGACCTGTTAGGGGAGGGTTGTGGCAATCATGTCTGCAGGAGAGGGCAGTCAGGGGTGACAAGCCTTCAGGAAAGGGCAGCTGAGGGCAACTGGGCCGGCAGAGGAGGGTTTGCAGTGAAGGACAGTTAGGGGTGACAAGGCCGGCAGGGTGGGCAGTTAGGGGCAATCAGGCCAGCAGGGGAGTAGTTAGGCATCGATCAGACTGGCAGGGGAGTGGTTAGAGGTAATCAGGCAGGCAAGCAGGCGAGTGGTTGGGAGCCAGCAGTCTTGGATTGGATTCCCAGATTGGAGAGGATGCAGGCTGGACTGAGGGGCACACACCTCACATCCCATGCACGAATTTCATGAACCAGGCCTCTAGTGTGCATATAAATTCTTTGGTTAATCTCCTCATGCCACCCCTTACACTCCCCACTTTCCCTCTTATATTTATCAGTTCATTCCATGCTTCCATGTCTAAGGATCTATGTTGTTGTTTTTGTTAATCCTCAACCAAAGGTATTTTTCCATTGACTTTTTAAAAAAGTAGAAGGGAGGGAGGGAGACAGAGAGAAACACTGATAGATTGGCTGCCTCCTGCATGTGCCCCAACCCAGGTTGGGATCGAGACTGAAACCCAGGTACATGCCCTTGAATGGAATTGAACCTGCACTTTCAGTCCTCTGGCTGAGCGAGGTTCTATCCAGAGCCAAAATGGCTAAGACTATTTTAGTTTATTTTTTAATGTATTTTTATTGATTTCAGAGAACAAGGGAGAGATAGAAACATCAATGATGAGAGAGAATTATTGACTAGCTGCTTCCTACACAACCCCCACTGGGAATAAAACCCATAACCTAGGCATGTGCCATGGACCGGAATCGAACCTGGGACCTTTCAGTCACTGGTCAATACTCTATCCACTGAACCAAATCGGCTAGGGCTGGATTTATTTTTAAAGTGCTGTTTACAACATGCTGAATTATTTAGAAAAAATAAACCAGTCAAGATACAAATTGTAATCTATAATAATAAAAGTGTAATATGCTAATTAGACCAGACATCCTTCTGGAAGTCTTTCCGGACAACCTTCCGGAAGAAGCCACAGTGGTGGGGGCTAAGGCAGAGGCAGCGGTCACAGCAGGCATAGGCCGAGGCAGAGGCCCTTGGCCGCTGTGGCGGGGGGGGGGAGGGGGGGGTTAAGAGGGTGAGGCTGCCACTGTGAAAGTGGGGGCCAAGCCACTCGCACGAATTTTATGCATTGGGCCTCCAGTATAATTATAAATGGGAATAGCTTGAAATAAAATATGCCATTGGTTAATAAATCAGTGATGGAACTATTAGCAATCTCTCCCTTCATTTAATATAAAATTTTATTAATAAATATTATTTTTACAATCAGATAAGAGAGAAAGTGGTTCAGAAACTCTCTCCAGTAAGGTATATCTTCACTGTATTTCTTCTTTGGCCTTGTAAACAGTGAAATTTATGATAAAAGAATTGTGGTAACAGAATATTTTATCTCAGACTGTGAGATAAAATAAGGAAGTAAGCAATAAGGTAAAATAAAGTCTTTTAACTCCTTTCATCTTTTTTCCCAATTAGCTTGTTTGAATCAGATCTCCAAGACAATCCTATCCTGACAGCGAATATCAATGCTTAACTATTCTATCAAATATCTTCTGAGCCCTTAAAGTTAGAAAGAATGAGGAAATTAACTAAATATCCCTTTGCTATGGAAACTCTTAGTTATCATCTTTCAAGATCTATAATTCCAAACTATGCTCTATAAAGTAAGTTATAGTTTGTTGGACTTTAAAAATTTTAAAGATCAGCCGAAACAGGTTTGGCTCAGTAGTAGAGCGTCGGTCTGCGGACTGAAAGGTCCCAGGTTCGATTCCGGTCAAGGGCATGTACATTGGTTGGGGCACACCCCAAGAGGCAGCTGGTCAATGTTTCTCTCTCATCGACGTTTCTAGCTCTCTATCTCTCTCCCTTCCTCTCTGTAAAAAAATCAATAAAATATATTTTAAAAAAATAAAAATAAAAATTTTAAAGATCAAAACAAACTTTTTTTGCAGTCAGATAAAAATCATTCTATTTTCCAAATACATCACTTTTTCTTCTTTTTTAAAAAGTACTTAAGTACTTACTACATGCTAGGCAATAGTTAAATGCTTTATGTGGATTATGCCATTTGATTCTTTTAAGTAGAGATATATATATATATATATATATATATATATATATATATATATATATATATATAAAAGCCTAATATATGCCCTAACTGGTTTGGCTCAGTGGATAGAGTGTCAGACTGTGGACTCAAGGGTCCCAGGTTTAATTCTGGTCAAGAGCAAGTACCTTGGTTGGGGGCACATCCCCAGTAGAGTGTGTGCAGAAGGCAGCTGATTGATGATTCTCTCTCATCAGTGTTTCTAACTCTCTATCCCTTTCCCTTCCTCTCTGTAAAAAAAAAAAAAGTAAAAATCAATAACATATATATTTTTAAAAAGCCTAATATGTGTCTGTTTAACCAGTTGCTATGATATGCATGACCACCAAGGGGCAAACGCTCTGACCAGTAGGTTCGCTTGCTGCTGAGGTCTGGCTGATCAGGACTGGGTGAGATGGGCCAGACATGCCCTGGAGCCCTCCGTGGTCTGTCCCCAGCCCCGATCATGCACCAGTGGGGTTCCTCAGCCTGGCCTGAGCCCCCTTGCAATCCTGGACTCCTCAGGACATGTCTGAGAGCCAGTTTTGGCCGAACCACGCAGGCCAGGCCAAGGGACCTACCGGTGCACAAATCCATGCACCATGACTCCAGTAGGTAATAATAAATTATTATCGCTACTTCACAGGTGAGAAAACTACCAGGAAGAGCAGCTAGTTAACCTGTCCAAGGCCACACTGCTGGTGGATCTAGGATATAGATATAAGCAATCAACTATATTGTCCCAATTCTTTAACATTGCCCAATCCTGCCTTCCATACTGTTTCAATTGCAAGGTTATCTGTTACCTTTCTCTGGGCATATAGTTAATTGCAAGAGAACATTCATGCCGAAACCGGTTTGGCTCAGTGGATAGAGCGTTGGCCTGAGAACTGAAAGGTCCCGGATTCAATTCCAGTCAAGGGCATGTACCTTGGTTGTGGGCACATCCCCAGTAGGGGATGTGCAAGAGGCAGCTGATCGATGTCTCTCTCTCATCGATATTTCTAACTTTCTATCCCTCTCTCTTCCTCTGTAAAAAATCAATAAAATATGTTTTTTTTTTTAAAAAAAAAGAACATTCATTTGTAAAAGTTCAATGTTAAACTAATTTTTTCTCAAAACCTAAAATTCTGCTCTAATTTACATCAAAAAATGTTTTAAAAAATATATAATGAGAAAGACTTCTAATATTTGGAAGTAAAGTATCCTTTTCTGGGAGAAAGCCTCAAATGAAAATTTCTATTAATCTACATGAACCTGGCTTTGGATAATCTCTTAAAACTTCCTCATATATTTTTCATTATGTGAGAAAAAGTAATTTAAAACTTTTAATAAATCTGATATCTAGTCTCCAAGTTTAAAATATAAAAAAAGAAACGAACTTTTAGAAAAAAATCTACATATATACACCTCTCATAACAAACAGCAAAAATATCTCAGGAAATATTTAAATAAATTTTTCTAAATCCCTCAAGTATTATTAATGCAAGAAATTTTATATATACTTTCAAATTTAAAAACTAAAATATATATATTTTTGCAACAAAGATGAAACAAAACTTAGAATGAGTAACACCTTAATAGAAATGGCATCATGGACAGTTCTTACCTTTTTGGAATTTCACATAGCTGATTCTTACTGAAGTTAATAGAAGTGACAATGTTGTTTTTTACTGCATCAAACACTTCATCAGGAATCAAAGTTGTTTGTTTATCACTAAATGAAAAATGTTTAACTTTGAGAAGTCCAGAAAAATATGATTATTACTTTTCACTTTTACAGAACTTTGAAGATTTTATAAGACAATTTTTTAAGGTAGTTGATAATTTAGTTCTATAAAGAACGCCACAAAAACCTGCCAACCCACAAAATGTTAACTGTCAGGAATTCAGACAACATACTGTGTCACAACATAATGTGCCTTCTGAGCATTCATATACTCAATGTTAATAAAATAGAGATATATCTTCAGAGTCTAATGTCTAGAAGTCATACAGTAAATAGCTAGTAATTCAGTAAATGGATTCCTCTACCTTAGAGTAGAACTAAATCTGTAATTTTTAAAACTGTTTTTGCCCCTTTTAAAAAATCTCTTAATATAGGCTACCTGTCAATTTTCTTTAGGTATATATTTAACTGCAAGATAAGAATCATTCTTAAATGTTCAATATTGTACTAAACTAGTGTTCTTATAACCTAAACCAATTTCTCTCTCCTTTAGCATGTGACAAGGTAGACAGGGTGGCCTTAGAATAAACAATTCCTGGTTCTACCAATAAGGAGCATTATCATTCACCTTTCCTGAACCTCAGTTCTTTGAAATTAGAATATAAAGAGTTATTGTTATTTATGCCAGATCTTTTACAAATGTAAATATAAATTTCCTTTTCAATAAAGTTAAACTTTTCAGTAACGTTTTTAATAAAATGTAAGTTAAATCTTAAATGAAACTATAGACTGCTGACATTCAACAATCTGTTGATGTTATAATTAGCCATTATCTTTATGTTCTTCTTTTACAATTTTTAATGCTTAATACATCATCCATTTAAAAGCATCCTCAATAAAATGTCCACTGAATGACTGTATGTACAAGAAAGCAATATAATGTGTGCAGTATGGGAGAAAGTTATTATAACACAGATAGGAAAAAAGACAGCCTAAATTTCATACGTATTATGCCTTCTATTTTTTCTGCTAAGGACCCCATTTTCTGCTGGGCAGAGGTGGCATTTTTATCTTTTCAATCAGCAATGCTCAAGTCATCAGAAACTGATCTATTGTAATCAAACTTTGAATTCTCATGCTATTTTTAAAAATTTAGTTGAAGGCATTTATAACTTAAAATTTGGAATTTGTATCTTAAATGGTATACTCTTTCCCAATTAGTCTCTGAGGAAAATAAATTCAGAATCTAAGTAATCTAAGATGTGTAGCCTTAAGTGTTGTATTTATTATGCCTTTGTGATATTTGTGTCTTTAAAAAGTAGGAGTGATTATCTCAAATAAAACTGTATTACTATTACTATATACATGTTTTTTGGAGGATACTGACTATTGAGAAGGTGGTTTCTACTGACACATTGAGGAAAAGAGGCAAGATATTGAAGCTGGCTGTGTAAATGAATTGGAATAATTCTGTATTTTCATTACGTTACAGAGCCAACCATTGCAAGAATTTTGATAGTATTGGTTATGTTTATCATTGTTGCTTCAGTACTGATAGAACATTTGACAACCACTCCCAAACTTTGCATAAGGTATCCTCATTCCCCAACTGAATGTACTTTTATAATATACAAAATTTTTTAAGCTTTGTCTCAGCTTACATACCAACACTGTAACTGTTTCAGATTGAATATATGTGCTACCTGAGCACAATGTTACTATAACATTATTTACTTTCATTCCGATATATTAACATATACAACCTCTCAAGCTTTGCCTGCTTGGGGTGTTCATTAACTAAATTATATTTATTTCTAATTTACCAACATAAGCACAGCTCCCTCCCCCTCTCCCCTACCTTGTCCAAATATAAAAATCTTCTCTAGATGCTGGAGTCAGAAAATTTTATTACTAACCAATACTGTCACCCTTTTATTTTTCATAATAGCAAAAGGTCCTTTATTATAAATATTTTACTATCAATAACCATTCATCTCTAGCATAATACATACAAACCACCTAAAAAAAGGGCATTTAAGATCATTGAGCTTTTAATATGCTTCTATCTCATCATTGCTTTTAGAATTGCTATTATTCTAAGTCAAGCATACTAATGCAATGTTTCAAAAATTTACTTCTGAAAATTTTCTATGTTTTGTTACATTTAAAAAAAATGAGTTACATACCTATAGTCTAATATTTTTAATGTGATGATGGCATGCACATTTACTCTTGATTCACTTGGTAGTGTCATGGCAGTCTCAATAGCAGAGTCATTTTGGCTAGGTCCATCATCTGGGGGAGGAAATGTTATATGAAACAAATATATATAATATAAACTCATTTTTAAAAATTAAGAAAATACATAAAATTATATATATGATTTATTTATGTAATTGGTGAGAATGTCTTAGTTGTATGCTTTATCTCCAATAACTCAAATCTGAGTTTGCGTTTAATATTTAATTAATAGAAAATAAGATTACTATAATACAGCTTCAAAAAATCTAATAATTAAATCCTAACTTAAGGAAACTAAGAAGTAGAAAAAGAACCTTTAAGAATAACTAAAATGAGAGCCTAGACTGTTTGGTAGCAGGCGAAACTCAAGGGCACCTCACTCTTAGAGGTGCTTGCAGCGAGTACCAAAGGACCCCGAGGAACACTGAGACTCAGGAGCCGCATAGGGCGTGGCTGACATGGCTGACAGAAGCCAAGGCTGTAGGCTCCATCCTGAAACTCTGCCCCATCCAAGCTGAACACAGACACTTTTAAGGCTACCAACTCAGGGAAGCTGAGAAAATGCCGAGACAAGGAAACAGATCACAAACGAAAGAAACGGAGGACAAAAAGCAACTGGATATAGAGTTCAAAACCACGCTTATAAGGTTTTTCAAGAATTTCCTAGAAAAGGTCGATAAGACCTATGAGGATATGAAAAGGAATCAACTAGAAATAATAAGGGATCAACAAGAAATAAAGAAAACATTGTCTGAAATAAAATATATTATATAGAGTCTTAAAAACAGAACGGAAGATTGCAAGAGTCAAGTCAAAGATCTGGAATATAAAGAGCCAGAAGACACGCCTCCACAGAAGAAAGAAGGCAAGAAAATCCAGAAAGTTGAAGATAATGTAAGAAACCTCTGGGACAACTTCAAGCGAACCAACATCAGAATTATGGGGGTCCCAGAAGATGTGAGAGAGCAAGATATCGAAAACATACTGAAAGAAATAGTGATAGAAAACTTCCCCCACCTGGTGAAAGAATTAGACTTACAAGTCCAGGAAGCACACAGAACTCCAAACAAAAGGAATGCAAAGACCACACCAAAACAAATCATAATTAAAATTCCAAGAGCAAAAGATAAAGAGAGAATATTAAAAGCAGCAAGAGCAAAGCATGTAGTTACTTATAAAGGAGCACCTATATGATTGTCAGGTGATTTCTCAACAGAAACCATGCAGGCCAGGCGGGAATGGCAAGAAATATTCAAGGTGATGAATAAATAGACATGGAGATCAAAGAAATAAAACTGAGAGGCCCTACATTTATGGTCACCTGATTTTCAACAAGGAAGGAAAGATCTTATTAAAAATAATAGCCTTTCCAACAAATGATACAGGGAAACTAGATAGCCATATGCAAAAAAAAAAAAAAAAAAAAAGAAAGAAAGAAAGAAAGAAAAAGGAATAGAACCCATATGTCACACCACATTTTAAAAATTATTCAATATAGATCAAAGACATAAATGTCTTTGTGCCATGGTAGAGGAAGGACAGAATGGACTGGAGCTGTGTGAGCAAAAAGCCAGGATTGAGGATTAGGGGGTTAGAGCTCAGAAAGCAGATACCCCGATTCCTGTGCTGAGTCATTCCCTCATGCATCTTTCCCACACAGACATTTGCCTGGCCTGGGGAAAATCAGTTTGACCCACCCTATTGGAAAACACCTTGCCCTGAAGCCACTAAAGATATTCGATATAAAAATTAGCCTCCAGGCAGAAGCAACTTCCCCACCCTGTTGACAAAAACTCTCACCACACCTCAGTATGACTGCTGAGACCATTCAAATCAGAATCTTATCAGTCTGTAGGCAAAGGCAGTCTCTGGAGGCTTTGAGTTTTTGCCTGATCTAATTAGTCATAAAGCGTTTGACACTCTCCTGAACTAAAGATTGAGATGCATAGAGGATCTACCTAATACATAGTCACAAACTCAAACAGACAGCCAAAATAAGGATATAAAGAAAAATCCCCAAATGAAAGAACAAAAGAAGAAGAGATAAATGAAGCATAAATGTAAGTACAAAACTTAGAAGAAAATATAGTGGCAAATCTTAATAAAATAAGATTCTGCAAAGGATTTTTAAATATGAAACCAAAAGCATAAGCAAATAAAGAGAAATCAGATAAAATAACTTCATCAAAATTCAGAAAGACTTTTGTGTTTCAAAGGACATCAAGAAAATGAAAAGGCAATACATACAGAGCTAGAAAATATTTGCAAATCAGATATCTGACAAAATACTTACAACTAGACTAGAGGCCCAGTGCATAGGTTCGTGCACTGGTGGGATCCCCCAGTCTGGCCTGTGCCCTCTCACAATCTGGGACCCCTTGAGGGATGTAGTAGTGCTTGAAGTGGCAGACAGCTGGGGAGGAGTCCTAACCCTGGCCAGGTGCCGAGCCACTCCTGCTCATCCTGGCCCTGCTGTGCTTGCTGCCGCTGCCAAATGGTAGCACTGCCGCGGAGGCGGGAGAGGCTCATGCTGCCACAGTTGCACTTACCAGCCGTGAGCCTGGTGTCTGGTGCTCCTTAGTCAGCTGAGTGGCGCTCCCACTGAGAGCATACTAATCACCAGGGGGCAGCACTTGGGTTGAGCATCTGCCCCCTGGTGGTCAGTGAGCATCATAGAGACTGATCAACTGGTCATTCAGTCACTTGGGCTTTAATATATAAGATATCGATATATGTAGATATCTTATATATTAATATATCTATCTATCTATCTATATGTATATATATATATATATATATATATATTTTTTTTTTTTTTTTAAATACAATTCAATAATAAAAAGATAAATAATCTAATTAAAAACTGGGCTAAGGATCTGAACAGATGTTTCTCCAAAAATGTATAATGGCCAATATGTACATGAAAAGGTACTCAAATCATTAGTAATCAAGGAAATGCAAATCAAAGCTACAGTGAGATACTTCACACCCACAGGATGTCCAGAATCTGTAAGTCAGGGAAAAAAGTATTGGTGAAGATGTGGAAGAATCAAAACCCTCATTCAATGTTGATGAGAATAAAAAACGGTGTGACTTTTTTAAAAAATAGTCTGGCAGTTCTTCAAATGACTAAACGTAAAGTTACCATATGACCCTGACATTCTAAATGGATATAAACACAAAAGAAATGAAAACCTATGTAAATTTAAAAGTATAGAAATCCTACAATATCTGCTTTTAGAATCTTAAACTAGAAATCTGTAGCAGAAAGACAACTGGAAAATTCCAAATTATGTGGAGATTAAACAACACATTTCTAAATAACACATGGCTCAAAGAAAAAATCTAAAAAGAAATTTTTAAATATTTGAACTACTTGAAAATAAAAATAAAATACAACTTGACAAAATTTGTTGGATGAAGTGAAAGGAGTGGTTAGAGGTAAATTTATAGCACTAAATGCATATACTAGAAAATATAGATCCAAAATCGATCATCTAAATCCAACAAAGGGGAGAAGGATGCATGTATAGTGAAGTCAAGAGTGACGTAGGGAAGCTACTTGCCTATCATTCCAGCCTGAGAAAAAATGGATTGGTTAGGAGCACGGACCCTAATGCAAGCTCATGACAATTTTGGACTATATAATTTCCAAAGAGTTCCCAGTCTCTTGTTCTCCTCTTGTGCTCTGACATTCTTGCTTCATGACCCACACTCACCCTGTGTGCTTGCCTGTTCTCTCTCTATCGCCTTGTGGCCTTAGAAACCACATGACCCATGGCATGTGGACTCCACACACAATGGAGTACAGCTGGGAACACAAGGTAAGCTGGCCAGATGCTGGACTGGACTGTGCTTAATATGGAGCAGAGACTGTGAGCAGTGGCCTTAATTCTAGCCCTGCTGAAGATAAGACTGGACTTTTTTTTTCATGGCAAGACAGAAGGAAATGGTACATTGGGAACCCAAGGGCTTAATTCCATGGAAATAAAGATCACTCATCCTCCCTGCGTGTCTCAGGAAATTCCTTTCCTTGTGACATCCCAAGAACTCCACTTCCACTGGTAACAGATGGGGACACAGATGGCACTCCACCGATAACAATAGCAACAGATGCAGAAAAAAGCATTTGACAAAATCCAACACTCATTCATGATTTTTAAAAAAAACAACACACTCAGAAAACTAGGAAAAGAGGATAAAGAGAATCAAAGTCTTGCCACCTTGAAGCTTCTTTTTAGAATGTTGATTTTAAGCTGTTATTAAGAAACAACGGGTTCTTAGTACATTACACTTAACTCCTGGCTTGTGGGGGCTCTTTTGCTCCTGCTTTCCTGCATTCGTCCACACACAATGGACTAATGGACTATAGCTAGCCTGATGTTATACTGGGCCCAGCTGCAACACAGAATGGAAACTCTGGACTTTGACTCTGCTTCTAACTTTACTGAAACTCCAGCTATTTTCTTCTATGACTGGACTAAGGGAAATGGGATGTGACAACTCCAGGGTTGATTCCATGAAACTAATGCTTTCTATCATTAAAAAAGAAACAAAAGACTCAGGGGAAAAAACCTTTGACCCCATTCTTGCCCAAGATATTCAGATAAAAAAATATATATATAAAAAAAAACACCTGCTTCAGGAAGGAAATCTTACAATGTTTGCCTTAACCCAATTTGAAATAAGTATGGTAAATAGAAAGGCTTCAGGTAGGGGTCTGTAAACTAGATACCCGAGTCACACTGTTTCTAAGTTGCATAGCAAGGATTTGCCTACCATGTGTTCTACTCTTCCTCAACTATCTATAAATCACTCAGTCATTTCTGAAATCTAATATCTTGTTCCTTCCCTTTTCTCCTTTGTCTAAAATGTCATATGTACCCAATATTATCTCACTGTTTATGGAATTTTCATACTTATGTGAATTCCCCATACACATGTACCAAAATTTTATTTTCTCCTGTTAATCTTGTCTCTAAATTTATTAGCCCAGCTAGAAAAAGTTAGGAGGAGGAAAAGTATTACTATTTTAGTTTCCACAAGAGGAACTTTCTCAACTTGATAAAAACTATGTACAAAAACCCTACAGGGTAACATCAAACTTAATGGTGAAAATCTCAAAGCTATCCCTTTACAATCAGGTACAAAGCATGGATATCCCCTCTCACCACTCCTTTTCAACACTGTACTGTCTCTGCTAAAGCGATTGGGAAGGAAGGCATAAAACTGTCTTTGTCCACAGATGACACAATCATTTAGAGAGAAGGCATGAAAGAATCGGGAAAAAACCCTCCTGGAACAAAGTAAGTGATGATAGAAGGTTAAGGATACGTGGTTAATATGGAAAAGTAAATTGCTTTTCTCTATATCTATAATAACAATGAACAAGTAGAATTTGAAATTAAAAACACAATGCGATTTACATTAGCTTCTGTCAAAATAAAATACTTTTGAATAAATCTAACAAAATATGTAAAAGAACAAACTGAGGAAAACTACAAAACGCTGATAAATGAAATCAAAGAAGAATAAGAAATACCCCATGTTCACAGATTGAAGACCAAATATTGTCAAGATCAATTATTCCCTACTTGATCTATAGATTCATACAATCACAATAAAAATTTTAGCAATCTATTTTGCCAATACTGGCAAACTGATCCTAAAGTTTATATGGAAAGGCAAAAGACCAGAATAGCCAACAATCTATTAAAGGAGAAGAAAAAGTTGAAGGACTGACACTATCCAAGTTTGAGACTTATTATAAAGCTACAGTAATAGAGACAAAAGTACAGAAGAGAGAGCCCATAATTAGAACCCTATTAATATAGTCAACTGATGTTTGACAAATCAGCAAAGGCCATATAAAATAGCAAAGGTCATGTTTTCCTCATATTGTACCAAATCAATAAGGCATCTACCAGCAAAAAAAAAAATACTGTTTTATTCGTAACTGCCAAAACATGAAATCAAACAAGATATCCTTCAGTAAATTAATAAACTTAGGATATCCAGACAATGAAATATTATTCAGCATTAAGAAGAAATGAGTTATCAAGGTATAAAACATATATTGAGAACGTTTAAATGCATAACACTAAGTGAAAGAGGCCAATTTAAAAGATTACAAACTGTATGATTGCAATATATGACATTTTAGAAGAGAAAAACTATGGAAACAAGAAAAAGATCAATTGTTGCCAGGGATGAAGAGGTAGATCATAGAGAATTTTTACAGTAGTGAAAATATTTTATATGATATTATAATGACGATACATCAACAAGAGTGAACCGTAAGGTAACTATGGACTTGGGGTGATTATGATGTATCAATGTAGGTCCATCCTCAATTAAAAAATAAAAAAAAGCATTTTTTTTTAAAGTACCATTCAGATAAGTGATATTGATAACGGGGAAGACTATCATATGGAGGTCAAAGGATATATGGGATATTTCTATACCTTTCTTTCAATTTTGTTGTAAACCTTAAACTATTCTTAAAAATAATTAAGTCTTAAGCCAGCCGGTGTGTCTCAGTGGTTAAACATTGACCTATGAACCAGGAGGTCATGATTAGATTCCAGGTCAGAACACATGCCCGGTTGTGGGCTTAATCCCCAGTAGGGGGCATGCAGGAGGCAGTCAACTAATGATTCTCTCTCATCATTAATGTTTCTCTCTCTCTCTCCCTCTCCCTTCTTCTCTGATATCAATTTAAAAAACTATTTTAAAAAAATTAAGTCTTAAAAAAATTCTGAACATTCTGAAATGACTTGGTTCATATCAGAATAAATAAATTTTTCTAGAAGAGAAAGCATACCTGGAGAAGAAAGGAAACTCTTTGGCAGGAAATAAGTCTTAGAGTATGATTTTAATAATTAGTTTAAAGGGCAAGGTAGAGCTGAGACCGGTTTGGCTCAATGGATAGAGCGTCGGCTTGGGGACTGAAGGGTCCCGGGTTCGATTCCGGTCAAGGGCATGTACCTTGGTTGCGGGCATATCCCCAGTAGGGGGTGTGCAAGAGGCAGCTGATCGATGACTCTCTCTCATCGATGTTTCTAACTCTGTATCTCTCTCCCTTCCTCTCTGTACAAAATCAATAAAAATATATTTTAAAAAAATAAATAAATAAAAAAATAAAGGGCAAGGTAGAAAATGGAATATTCTGAAGTATACAATTACTTATATAACATACTAGAAACCCAGTGCACAAAATTCATGCACAGAGTAGAGGGTGTCCCTCAGCCCCGGCTGCACCCTCTCCAATCTGGGACCCCTCGAGGGATGTTAAACTGACTGTTTAGGGCAGTCAGACATTCCTCTCACAATCCAGGACTGCTGGATCCCAACTGCTCACCTGCCTGCCTTCCTGATTGCCCCTAATGGCTTCTGCCTGCCACCCTGATCACCCCCTAACCACTCCCATGCCAGCCTGATTGATGTCTAACTGCCCCCCTGCCAGCCTGTTTGTCCCCAACTTCTCTCCTCTGCTGGCCTAGCCACTCCTAAAAGCCCTACCCTACAGGGTTGATCGCCTCCAACTGCTCTCCCTTGCAGACCTGGTCCCTCTCAACTGCCCTCCCCTGCTGGCCATCTTGTGATGGCCATCTTGTGTCCACATAGGGGCAGGATTTTCGACCACATGGGAGCAGCCATCTTGTGTGTTGGGGTGATGGTCAATCTGCATATTACTCATTTATAGATAGGATACTCAGTAGCCATGTTATAAGGCTAACATGCTAGGCTAAGTTGTGCATAACCAACAGTTTTGAGCTAAATTAACAGCTGCTATAGTTAGCCACTAAGTTTTGGAGTGGTTTAGTGGTATCTGCAGCAGTATACTCATACAACTAACATTTTTGTTTAAATCTTAATGCTCTACGCTAAATAAAAATTTGGAATAATCACAATTTTAGTAAAGCATTAAGAATTAAATAAATAGCCGAAACCGGTTTGGCTCAATGGATAGAGCGTTGGCTTGGGGACTGAAAGGTCCCCAGTTCGATTCCGGTCAAGGGCATGTACCTTGGTTGTGGGCATATCCCCAGTAGGGGGTGTGCAAGAGGCAGCTGGTCAATGACTCTCTCTCATTGACGTTTCTAGCTCTCTCTATCTCTCTCTCCCTCTTTGTACAAAATCAATAAAATATATTTAAAAAATAAAAAAAGAAAGAAATAGTATCATTTTCTCCTTTGCTTGTACTAAATGAACATATCCTGAAAAATGTGTTTTGTATTTATTTTTTGTCAGAAGTTAGCTAAGGCAAAAGATTCAAATACTTGCTAATATACTCCCTAATCAATATTATTTATATCCATATATATTATTATAAACTAGAGGCCTGGTGCACGAAATTCATGCATGCGGAGGGGGGGGGGGGTCGGGGTGTCCCTCAGCCCAGCCTGTACTTTCTCATAATCTGGGACCACTCGGGTAGGGTCCCTAAGCCTAGCCAGTAATAAGGGCCTATGGGAGCTTTCCTTCCTCTGGCTGCCAGCAGCTGGCCCAGCCCCGCCCCGCCACAGGTCACCTCCCTCTGCTGGTGATAGGCGTGGGGTGCAATCACTTGGTTGGCCTGGGCCTCCCACTGCGGGGCGATCAATCACCACACACAGGGAGATCCCGCCCTCCCACTGTAGTGCTGCCAGCTGGGTAGCCTGGGCTTCCCTCTTTTGGGCAATTGATTGTGGAGCCCCCCCCCCATCAATCACCCCGTAGAGGGTAGTCTGGGCCTCCCTCTGAAGGGCGATAGTAGGCAATGGAGGGTCCCCCTGATCAATCGCATTGCACCCGTCTTGACTGGCCTGGCACCAGTATGTCATAGTGTGGTAGTCCGGAAGGTCATCTTGCATTTGGGTCATTTGGTCAATTTGCATATTGTGCTTTTGTTGTCATAGATTATACAATGTATATAAAACCCATACGTTATACTACATAAATAAGCATATATATACACATATGTGTATATAAATATAGATGAAATCCATATATTATTCTATAGAAGTCAATTTTTTTGTTTTGTTTTTAAATATATTTTATTGATTTTTTACAAAGAAGGGAGATGGATAGAGAGCAAGAAATATCGACCAACTGCCTCCTGCACATTCCCTACTGGTATGTGTCTGCAACCAAGGTACATGCCCTTCACCGGAATCGAACCAGGGACCCTCTAGTCCGCAGGCCGATGCTCTATCCACTGAGACAAACCAGTTTTGGCATAGAAGTCTAGTTTTGCTTTGTTTTCTAATTGGTACACTGTAACACACAAATTAACAGATTAAAGACAGAACATTATTATTGCGGATTTAAGGATATTTTTATATCTTCAACATACTTATGGCCTATATGGATTGATTATTGCAACCACACCTGGCAAGAACCATTCCCTCTAATTATTTATACCCCAAATACATGTACTATTAGTACTTTACTACCTTTCATATCATCCTTCTAACACAGAAGAAATTGATAAGTACCTTTAATCTTGCTTCGTAGATATTTTAAGACTTCTTGGGTTCCTTTCTGAAAAGGTAGGAAAGGCACATATTCACTAAGACATCTTAAAAGTTTTATACATTAACACATATGTATAAATTTCAAATTTAAAAACTGATTTCCAAATATGCTTACATTTATAATTTCTCTTCGAATTGTTCTCATAGGATTTCCTTCTAGTGCCAGGAATTTCAACTGAAGTTTTCCCAATGAATAGGGCAGGCTACAAAAAATTAAACTGATTTCAGGGAAAACATTAAGGGTAAGAATAATTCAACCAAATAGTTGATTATGAAACTAACAACATATAATTAAGTGTCAAAGAAAACCCAAGTAATATAAGTCTACCATATTTCCCTTTGAAGTAGCTATCCACGTAAAAGAAAAAATAGATTTGTTTGAAATTATATTATGATTGCTAAAAAAGAAATGTGAGCTATAAAACATTTACTAAATTGTATCCAGTGCTAAAAGTAAATGGTCAAAATATAAATTTGACTGAATCAGTGATTCAAAATAGTTATCCTCACTGATACTAAATATTTTGATTCTGCCCTTAAAGCAAATAAATGAAATTCTTCCTAAATAAAAATGACAAAAAGAAAAAAATGAATTTTAATAGCCCAATTCATATTTTCATTCAATAAGAAAAGTCATTTTTATCTTTGTCACACAAAAAGATAACCTGTTGAGATTAAATATCCAATCTCAAAATTAAGCATCTAATATTAAATAAATAGGAACTGGTATAGAATATGAAGATTATTGCCCTTAAAGAATTCTCATGGGAAAAGATACATATGCACTTAAACAAAATATTATAAATAAAATTATCTTATGTTAGTGGTGAGATTTAAATTAGTACAGCCACTCTGAAAAGCAGAGTCTTACACTTACCATACAACTAAGCAATCCCACTCCTACAGATTTCCCCAGGAGAAATGAAAATAATGTCCTACAGAGACTTTTACATGAATGTTCACAATAGCCAATAAACTGAAAATAATTCAAATGCCATCATCTAACTAGTGAAAAGAAGAATTGTGGTATAGCTATATAATGGATTACCACTCCATTATAATGAAAATGAACTGTTGATACACACAATCACATGAATGAATCACAAAAGCCATATGCTTCTCTCTCTCTCTCTCTCTCTCTCTCTCTCTCTCTCTCTATATATATATATATATATATATATATATATATATATATATATATTCAGAGCTCTGAAAAAAGAGGAATACATATATCATAAATATTTTTACCAATTACTTTATTTATTTAATATTATTTATCATAGTTTTTGTTTTAAATATTTGCTTCCCATTGCTTTTTTGCAGTAGCCAAAATAAAACTGCCATGAGGAAAAACTTACATATCAATATCTATGAAGCAAGAGATTATTTCATTCACTATTTGTATGGTAAGCACTTTAAGGGATATCCAGGCCACTTATTTTGTCTATGTAGAAGTGAAAAGTGTTGCTCTTCAACCATTCAAATCTATGGCCAATGTACATATGACTGTATGTTAATTGTGAAAACAACTTTGATTTTTTAAAACACTCATTTAAATATACACAGAGAAGAAAATCTGCCTTGCCTAACCTTTCACCTTCCATAAGCAGCAAAACTTATTTTTGACATCCAAACACAAAACCTCAGACATCTAATTGGTATATGATTCCAGTAAGTCTGAGTCAAATTTTTGTATCTGTAGAAATAATTCTATCTCTAAATACAATAGAGGCAAAAGTAGATTTACAGATGTTCAAATGGAAAATAATACAATATTAAATAAAATACAAGAATAAAGTGTGTTTTATGTACTCATAACTAACTATAACCATATTATAGTTTTATAACATTTTATTATTCTTTGTTCACTACTCCCCTTCTCTCTATCTCCAACACATGATGTCAATATAGTGAACTGGAAATCTACAAGCTGTCAACAGTGAACTGAATAGAGTAGAAAGTGCTCCTTAATGCTAAACATTATTAGTTTAATCTAATAGTTTACTTAGATTCCCCATCTACAAAACCACTCTTATTCAATGTATCTTACCCATTATCACCAATTTATTTTCTAATAAGTTACAATAAATTTGGTTCTTTTCTTAATCTTTCAATAGCTCTCCACCTCTTAACTAATGAAAACTGACTTCACAGGTATTTCAAGAACCTCTTCCACCTGGCCTTGACTTCTCTCTTAAGTCCTAAATTCTCAAAATCTGCCAACTTGCATCCTATTGACCAATTCAATTTGACTCTTTATTGTCCTCTGAATACATCCCTATAATTTTTTGAACTTTCCAAGCTTTGTTTATACAGTTTCCTCTAGCCAAGTGATTCATTCTGACCAGCTTACATGTGCACTTGAAAATCATGATCATCCTTTAAAGGTCATATGGTGGGACCAGAATGAAGCAAGACCATGAAAGTGAGCAGATTCTTAAATTTGAATTAACATGCTTCACCCTAGTCCCAGTCATAAAGATCATCTAAAAATATTACTTCTTCCACAAAGTCTACCCTGATACCTCTTAATAACTTGTAATTCCTATAGCTCCTTCAAGCCCCCAAAGCATTTTATATCTCTCCCATGGCTTTACAGTCATTTAACAAATTCAACAAATATTTACTAGACACCTTCTATAAGTCCAGACACTGATCTAGAAGTTAGAGCAGTGAACAAAACAGATAAAAATGCAGCCTTCTGAGAGTTTAGTTCTAGTAGGTCAGAGTAGCTTATAGATGAATCGCATTCTATTAGCATATTAAGCTTGATGTAAAGGACAAAATCTAATTACTCTTTGTAGGTCTGTACCTGATACCTGCACAGAAAACATTTAATTTAGAAAAAAAATTTATGTACTTTTTATAAATATTTTTACTTGTGAATTATAACCAAACACAAATATGATTTCTTATTCACTCGATGTTTAAACTTACCTGCTAATATCATTGTTGCTTAGGTCAAGCCTTTCCAATGATTGTAGTAGTGTAATTTCCTCTGGAACAGATTTTAACTTGTTATCCTGAAGGTCTAGCACAAGGATAGAATTCAGATGCTTAAGATGTTCTGCCCCTAACATTTCAATTTGGTTTTCACCTAAATGTAATTCCTACAAAACCAAAGATCAATCATGTATATTTCTGTAATCAATGTTATACTACATAATGAAAATAAAATTGAAATCTTAATTTCAAATCATTGAAAAGCACATAGAAAAAAACATAACTTTCTAATCATAACAGTGCTTAAATTTTCAATTACATTTAAGCTATCTTACAGCTAAAAAAAAATGACAATAAGAAAAATTTTCAAAATTTTCAAAATTTTCAAAATTTTTCTTGTAATTTACAAATAATTAAAGGTCTAACCTGGTACAAAGTTCAAAGTTTACAAAACCAAAGAAGAGAAATGATTTAATAGTTACATTTATAGAATAAAAATACAAATCCAAGAACTATACTTATGAAAGATTAGTTTTTTGTGTATTTTTTGAAGGGAAGAACACGAAGGAAAGGAGGGGAGGGAGAAGGACAGAGGGAGAAGGAGCAACACATCATCAATTGGCTACTTCCTGAATACATCTCGACTTGGGCCAGGGAACATGGCCAGGGAATGCCCTGCAATGCAGATACATGCCCTGGACAAGTAATTGAACCCCAGACCCTGTGGACACATGGACCAATGCTCCAACCACTGAACCACACCAGCCAGGGCAAAAAATTAAAGTTTTAAAACAAATCAGTATAAGTAAAAAAGTTATTTATCTTGTTATGTTTGTTATTCCACACTTTCAATGATAATTATTATGTGATTTCTCATTAACAGTATCTTTTAACACTATTAGCATCATGTATTAAGAGAAAAATTTTTTTAATATATTTTATTGATTTTTCACAGAGAGGAAGGGAGAGGGATAGAGAGTTAGAAACATCGATGAGAGAGAATCATCGATCAGCTGCCTCTTGCACACCCTCTATTGGGGATGTGCCCGCAACCAAGGTACATGCCCTTGACCAGAATCAAACCCGGGACGTTTCAGTGCACAGGCCGACGCTCTATCCACTGAGCCAAACCGGTCCCGGCAAGAGAAATTTTTTAACACTAATGCATAAAAAGTATACATAAAAGAAAGCAAAACATGGCAAATTTAGAAGATAATGTTAATGCTAAATACTTATAACCAAAAGTACTTAATTTTAGACAGATATGATTATGATCAGGTAAATGTCAGAGGTGGCAACTTACAGAAAAAGATATATATACTGTATTCCAGATCTCCTACAATATGGTCCCAACTTACCATGTTTGCCTCATCATCTATCGATACTACTTCTCCAGGTATAAACAAATCATCAGGTAAAATGAACAAATTTCTATTTTTAAGTTACTTCTTTTAAAATTATATATACTACTAATACCATTAATGCATTTAGCCATATTAAAATTCCCAAAACTATTAACATAGGAAAAATGCAGCACTTAAAACTAACACATATTTCCAATGTAAAGCAAGATTAAAAATTTCATTTTCATAAATAACTTTTGAAAATATATAGTTACTCAATAATAAACTAAATAGTACTACCTTTAATAATTTACAAGAAGGAAATTCTGGTAAAAAACGTAATTTATTCCTCCGCAAATAAAGCAATTCTAGTGATTCCATGCCAGCCAATTCAGAAGGTATAGATTCCAACAGATTTGAATTACAATCCAATTGCTTTAATCCTGTAATACATATTTAGCAAAAAAATTATTTTAATAGAGAAAAAACATTGGTCTATAATTTTGTGTACATTCAAAAAATATATAATGATGAGAACTTATGTATCTGTGTTGTTGTATACTTTTATAATAATCAAGAATCCTAGAATGCCACTGAATTAAATAAACATGAACTAAGATTTTTTTCATTTAATTATAAGATAATTGCTATTAAAATTAATGTTTTATAATAGTCCATGTCATCATAACAGATTTTTAAAAACTTTGGTTCTCTGTTAAATTACTCTAAAATGTACAAGGTGGGGCAAAAGTGGGTTTATAGTTGTTCCTATACAAAATAATATAATCATCCTATATAATAAAGAGGTAATATGCAGCCGAAGCCCGTTTGGCTCAGCGTTAGAGTGTTGGTCTGTGGACTGATAGATCCCAGGTTCGATTCTGGTCAAGGGCATGTACATTGGTTGCAGGCATGTCCCTGATAGGGGGTGTGCAAGAGGCAGCTGGTCAATGTTTCTCTCTCATCGACGTTTCTAGCTCTCTATCTCTCTCCCTTCCTCTGTAAAAAAAAATCAATAAAATATATATTTTAAAAAGAGATAATATGCAAAATGACCGTCACTCCAACACACAAGATGGCCACCCCTTTATGGACACAAGATGGCCGGCAGGGGAGGGCTGTTGTGGGCAATCAGGCCAGCAGGGGAGGGTAGTTGGAAGGGGACAGGCCTGAAAGGGAGGGCAGTTTGGGGCAATCAGGCATGCAGGCGAGGGCAGTTAGGGGTGACTGGGCTGGCAGAGAAGGGCAGTTGAGGGCAACCAGGCCTGCAGGGGAGAGCAGTAGTGGGGGGAAAACCCAGCCTGCAGGGGAGGGTAGCTGGGGAGGACCAGCCCTGCAGGAAAGAGCAGTTGGGGGGGGGGGGGGGGACACCAGGCCTGCAGGAGAGGAAAGTTAGGGGCAACCAGACCTGCAGAGGCAGTTGGGAGGAACAAGGCCTGCAGGGAAGAGTAGTTTTGGGGGACCAGGTCTACAGGGGAAGACAATTGGAGGGTATCAGACCTATAGGGGAGGGAAGTTAATAGGCGTGGCTTGTGTACGTAGCAGAGGTGTGGTCAATTTGCATGCTTCTCTTTTATGAGTGTAGATATTAGAAAAATTTCTATATATTCATCTGTTCCTATATCTCAAAATATTTCTACTCAATTTACAAAAAAAAAATGTTTCTTATATACTCAATGCAGATACCATATTTTATGTTTAACTCTACTTCCTAATACCTTTATTGGGAAATGGCAAAGACAAGCAGTCTTAACTGTTGGTATCACAAGTAAAAGCTTCCCTAAAATGTCAATTTGATTTATGCAGATTTAATTTACGAATTCCTATTATAAATGACAATTAACTATTAAAGTAAAATATACAATTTTATAAATTCACCTTCAAATGATCTGTAATCAATTATACAGAATCATTTTTTACTTCCTTTACAAAACAAGGGTTAAAAAACAAAGAAGGCTTACATATGATTAGCAAAATAGACTAGATAAGGTAAATAGTCTACAGTTGATACACACTGTGGTCATCCACCAAGAAATAGTTTGCCTTTAAACAACAAAAAAAAGCCGTTTAATGATTTTGGACTCTAACTCAAGAATTCTAAGATTATTCAGTATAATTATTTAAAAGGTACTTAAAAATATACCCTAAGTATTTTTATCCCTTACTTTTAGTTCTATAATACTTTCAATATGATGGCTCAGTGGAAAACTGTAATAGAAGCACTAAATTTTAACATTTTTTTTAAAAAAAGAATTCATAATTTAGGCAAAACTAGTCTATCTTTTGTCATTATTAATTATGAACCACAAGGAGGCTACAGCGATGACATAACCATATGTCACTAATAGGAACATCTATGAGAAGGGAATAACCTCTTAGTAAATATTGAATGAAAGAATGAAAATATAGCACAACTCAAAACCTTATTCAATTTCTCAGATATAAAATTTTATCACAATTTATAATCATTATTTCTTTTCTTTTTTTTTTTTAATATGTCAAAATATCTTTTTGGTGTAGTTTGAGGAAGTTGATAAATAATAATGGCCTCGAGAAAATCTGACTAGTTGCTATTGTTTGCATTTACCACCATAAAATCTATTATTTTATTTCTCTGCAAATATCTGTATTAAAATTTATTTTGATAAAAGTATGTTTCACCAACTTCAAATATATGTAGTTTTTTAAAACTGAGATTTACTTTTCATTCCACTTATTTCTGCTGGTAAATTCTTCAGTTGATTACTGGAAAGATTGAGTCGCACCAGACTGGATAGAGAAGAAAAACTAGCAGGAACAGTTTTAAGACAATTATTTGAAAGATCCTTTAAAAAGAGAAAGACAGATGAATGAATGAACAATAAAAATAAATTATCCTTAAAGAGTATTCCAGAATTATGCAAAGATTGAAACATTATTACATCTATCTATCTATCTATCTATCTATCTATCTATCTATCTATCTATCTATCTATCTATTTCTGAGGCTATTTTTTAACTCTCCTTCACTAACAGTTTCACAAATCATGATTCAATTACCCCAATATTCTGTGGGCCCACTACATACCCAATAATGTAGCAGAGAGAAATCAGAATAAATTCTGACTTCACAAACAGTTTATAAAACTGTTTGTGAAGTCATGCTCTACTATGTATCTTACTTTCAATAAAAAAAAAAAATCCATTTGTTTATCAAATATTGATTGGCTGCCTGTGATAAATAGGGCAAACTATGGGTAAACTGTAGTCCGAAATGAAATATAACTTTGCAAGAAAGAAATATTCTTGGGGGGGAAAAAGAAACTAAAGCTGAAAATATCACCATTTTAATTTTCAATGAAAAAATATTCTCTCTTGATTTTCTGCTCACCTCACTAAGTCTGCTTTGACTAAGTCTAGAAGTCCACTACACTACTACAGAACTCATTCATTCAAGCTTGCCTAATTAATCTTTATACCACAATGTTTCTTTTAGTCATTGTTTCTTTTTTATCTTTAAACAGTTACACAAGAACTTGGTTTTTGAAGCTCCCTTTAAAAGACAATGTTATAAAACAAATAATAATTCTTATAATATTTGAATTCGGTGTAAGTACTCCATTAGCTATCAGGAAACTGTTACGTAGGGCCAATAGTAACAATGAATAGAAAAAAGTAATTTAAAGGAAATGCTCTCTGAAGACTTTCAATTAATCTAAATTTAAACAATTGTATTCTGTAATTCTAAATAAATCAAGAAGATACAAAGAGGTAAAAGTGCCACATCACCATTTTTAAAAATACTGTTGTAAACAATAGAAAATAACATAATCTATAATATACAACATAATAATCTACAACTCCAATACTCTAAATTCTAAAAATTAACAGATTACTAATAAATAAATATTGTATAATATTAAAAGTTACTGACACTAAATGCAATGTAGTATTCTGGATTGGATCCTGGAACAGAAAGAAGAACATTAGTGGAAAAACTGGAAAAATCTTAATAAAATCTGTAGTTTAGTTAGTAATGTTGTACCAATATTAATTTCTTACTTTTTACAGATGTCCTATGGTTATGTAATATGCTAACATTAAGGAAATCTGGGTGAAGGGAATACAGGAACTCTCTTCATATTTCTACTAGTGGTCCAGTGCACAGATTCATGCCCATTGAAAGGAAATTAGAGGAAAGATTCATGCAGTAATTACATTGCTGCAAAACACTACATGTCAAAATAGTGTGTGTGTGTGTGTGTGTATAATACTATATATATAGAGATATATATAGATATATATATATAGTATTATAAAATTAAAACGTATGTGTGACTGGCATCAATGAGTGCTTTACAAGTATCGAGCATGCCCGAGTCAACGTTTATTTTTAAACTGCTTATGTGTGTCATATGTACCAGATGGTCAGTGTCGGATGGATGGTTGGTCAGTCACTTAACCTTTTATATATATCGATAGATAGATAAATCTAAAATCATCCCAAATAAAAAGCTTAAAATAAAAGTTCCTACTAAAGAAAATATATTAATTTTTCACAAATTCATCTTTAATAACTAATATCAACAAACCACTAAAAAAGTTAAACAATTATTGTAGTTAATAATTAAATTAGATCTAAAATTTAATTAATGTCTAAATAGATATTTATACTGCCAATTCTTCAATAAATATTTATTTAGTACCATTATACAAAGTTAGTTTTTACCTAAGAAATATTACCAGTGCAAATTATTACAGATACTTATACTTTTATTGTTTTAATATATTGTTGCTCACATTATGGTTTGATACTGAATCCTTAACACAATTCTCACTGAAACATCCTTTCATGATGCTACCTATAATCTAGGAACCTATTCAAAGAAATAACTGGGAACTGCTGTAGTTTATTAGGGTTTTTTTCTGCTATAGACTCTTAAAAAAATTCAATTGCTCCCTTTTTCCATTAAATTCCTAAGGAAATCCCTCCTTTGCCATTCACTTTATCTACCTAATTTTCTAAACCTTATTTCCAATCTAACCAGATGGACAGAGTTATTGAAGGAATGGTTGAAGAGTGTATATTTTTATTTCAAACACTAGAGGAGATAATGGGATATATCAAGAATGATTTTACAGAAAAAAAAAATTTTCCCTTAAGAAATAAACTTTGAGGCAAAAATGGCATGAATTAGTTCTCCAAACCTGTAAGAGGGGAAAGAACAAAAATATAATACTAAATTACTATGTGGAGTAGAGATTATTACAAAATCTGATCTAACATAACTAAAGCCTTTCTGATGAGATACCTTACAGTGGAATGTTATTCTTTCAGTGGTAAAGTGGAGAGAAAAATATACTTTGGAATCAAACTGGCTTATATTAAAATTCTGAATTCCTTACTTATTAGTTGAATGACTTTAATAAGTTGCTTCTTTGTTTAAGCCTAGTTTCTTATCTGTAGTAGGGGATAAACTATCTACCTTGCCATAAGTAAAGCACAAAACAAAGTGCCCATTGTTTTTATAATGCTTAATAATATGATTAAAATAATATTTCTATTGCTTTATAGTTATCTCTTTTTATTAAGATGTGACAGAAATGTAATAAAAATTTTGCCAAATTATGTTGCCATTTAAAAAGATAGAGCAGCCGAAACCGGTTTGGCTCAATGGATAGAGCGTCGGCTTGGGGACTGAAAGGTCCCGGGTTCGATTCCGGTCAAGGGCATGTACCTTGGTTGTGGGCATATCCCCAGTAGGGGGTGTGCAGGAGGCGGCTGATTGATGACTCTCTCTCATTGATGTTTCTGACTCTCTATCTCTCTCCCTTCCTCTCTGTGAAAAATCAATAAAATATATTTTAAAAAAATAAAAATAAAAATAAAAAAAATAAAAAGATAGAGCAAAAAGGCAGACCTTAAAGGTTACCTGGGTAAACCGAGGACAGGAGGAAGTGGAATGGGTATAGTAAAGGGAATTGGTATTTGCTCAAAACACCTTTTCTCTAATTTGCTAAACCATAAAAGCCTGTGAATAACAAAGTGATTCTCATCACCCCTTTCCCAAACTCTATTCCTAAATTAAAACTAAGGAGATTTCATAAGAAAACAAGATAAACAAATTTACAATTACTAATTTAATGGTCTAATTGAAATGCATACTGGTAACCTAATCATATAATCAGTTGTCCATTTCCTCATGATTTTAATCATACATAAAGATTCTCAGTCTAATGAAAAATGTGATCAAATTATCCAAAAATTGGAAAATCACAACTTACCAAATCTTCTAAATTGAACAGTTGTTCAAATCCCTCTGGTATAGAAGTTAGTTCGTTATGCTGGAGATACAGGCCCTTCAGGTTTCTGAGATTTGTAATTTCTTCAGGGAGTATCTTCAGTTTGTTATGGCTATTAATAAAATAAATGCTGAATCATCAGCTGACAACTTATAAATATTTATAAACCTTTTTTTATGCTGAACAACTACATGGACTAATTAAAAACATGAAATATGTTTACTAATATTAAAGTTACCAAGCTTCATATCCTAAAGTAATCAAATTGAGGGTTTCAATGAAAAACAACATAAAAATAAAATATTTTGACCAAATAATTTGTGAACTTTTGATTGCTGCCTTAAAATCAATTCTTAATTTTACATATAAAGTGAAAGAATACACTGGATTCTTATAATTTTATATTGTACCTGAGTTTCAGAATTTTTACAAAGATGTGCGCACACACACACTACAATGAAGCACATCTTATATGGGGATTATGTTTTAAAGTTATCACCCAAGAAAAAATTAGCTGTTTCTGTCTGAGGACCTGGCATGTCCATTTGAATGTAATATAAAACTCCACTCTTCTTTGTACCTTGTTTTAACATGTCAGCTCAGTCCTTCTATAGAGATATTTAGCTTACTGTTTTAAGAGAAGGCCCAAGTCACCGAGGATGATACACTCCCGGATAATTAAGAAATGACTTAGGTTGTTCCCAGATTTACCTCAACTATTCTCTTGGGAATTCCACTCTCTTTTCATTTCATGCCACATACAATTACTCAACAGATAATGGAGAAATGTATAATAGGGTAACTAACAATAACCTTAAGTTATATTAAAATACAACTAGTTGAAATAAAAATGCCAAAAGATGTGTTCTAAAAAAAGAACCACTGAAAATTGTCAAAAACTGGTTACTACTATTGGTTATATAATCAAAATCTTTATATACTTGATGGGGATCTAGTTGAGCAGAGTAATTCTAGCTATATACTTCCTCTTGTCATCATTTATTTCCTCCATCCTAATGTTCATACTAGGAAGCTAAAAGTAAAGCCACATGCACTCTATTCTCCCTCACCTCTTCCGGTCAACCCAACCTAGTCTAGCTTTTGCAAGCCACACCCATGCCTTGACTTGTAAGGGCAAGTTCTAAACAATTAGCACTTTTTTGGTATATAGATAATTTTGTTGATTTATGGTGATTTTAAAGTTTTCACCAGATGAGGAGTGTTGTTTGAGGTATTGTTTTTCATCAAACCAGTTAACATACCTTCAGAAAACTGACACTTGGCTATACTATGGTAGATAGATCTGTAACAATATCTATTTTATAAATCATAGTTTGCAAACTATGTTTTGAATACTTATACCTTTTTGTTTTTTTCTCCTAAATGAAATCTTCCCTAATCCATTTTCTCCTAAGATGTGTGTGTATATATATATGTGTGTATATAAGGTAGTTGGTTATTCTGGATGTGCAATGAAGAGCCGTGGCCGCCTGGCCACCCAGACATCTATCAATGAGTACCAGAAGCATATCCACAGAACCCTAGGAGTCTCCAGAAAACATTACCAACCACTAATATCAAAACCATCACATTTTTCGTCATTAATAAAGAACTGTTTTCAGTTTATTCCTATTGCTTAACACTTAGATATTTTTATATCAAAGTAACTTAAAACTTCAGATATCAACAAAGAAGTTTTCTAAAATAACCACATAAAATTGTTTCATAAAACAAATTATTTAATTCTCACCAGAAGATATGTTTTATTGATTTTTAGAGAAAGAAGAAAGGAGAGAGACAGGGAGAAAGGAAGAGAGAAACATCTATCAGTTGCCTCCCACAAGCCCCAGAAGGAATTGAACCCAAAACCTAGTAATGTGCCCTGACAGGAATTGAACCCCCAACCTTTTTCGTGTACAGGATGACATGCCAACAAACTGAGACACCAAGCCAGGGCAAAACAAAAGTATTTTTTTTTAAATCAACTGGCTTTTAATCTGTAAAACCAGAAAGTATGTATACAATTCTAAAACAAAAAAATAAAAATAACCTGAGAATTAAAACTCATTCTTATTCTGCTTTACCCACTTTCTAAGGTAATGAAAAAAATACTTTAAAGTGTTAGAAAAAACATTTTTTAAATATATCTTTATTGATTTCAGAGAGGAAGGAAGGAGAAACAGCAATAATGAGAGAGAATCACCAATTGGCTGCCTCCTGTACACCTCCTACTGGGGATCTAGCCCAAAACCCAAGCATGTGTCCTTGACCTTAATCGAATCTGGGACCATTCAGTCTGCAAGCCAATGTTCTATACACTGAGCCAAGACTGCTAGGGCTAGAAAAAACATTTTAAAGAATATCAGGTAGATAGTGCTGGTGGTGGTGGCAAAAGCAGAGAGGGGATTGAGCAAAAAGGAAATGAAAGAGAACTCATGGACATGGACAACAGTGTAGTGATTGTGTGTGTGTGTGTGTGGGGGGGGTGTTGGAAGAAGGCATAGAGAATGGAAAAATAAAGTAATAAGTATTCTTTAAAAAAAAAATAAGTTTAAATTTTACCTGACATTAAGTTTCTGAAGATTTTCTAATTCTCTTATAGCAGAAGGAAGAGATGTCAGCTGATTGTCATGTATCTAAAAGTTATTAAAAGAGTCAATATCTAAATCTTATAATTAACCATATATTAGCTTTGCCATTGTACAAAATTCTTCAATAATCCCGTTCTTCTAATTCAATAGTATCGAGTTGAGTATTGGAAATTTGTTCTGTGTGTAGAAGAGGAAAAGGAGTTTGAAATTGACCAAACTGTTGTTCAGATATCATGAAGCCATGTGATCATTATTAAATATTACAATTAAAAAAAAAAACTTCAGCCGAAACCAGGTTAGCTCAGTGGATAGAGCGTCGGCTTGAGGACTGAAAGGTCCCAGTTCAATTCCGGTCAAGGGCAGGTACCTTGATTGCAGGCACATCCCCAGTGTGGGGTGTGCAAAAGGCAGCTGATCAATGATTCTCTCTCATCGATGTTTCTAACTCTCTATCCCTCTCTCTTCCTCTCTGTAAAAAATTAATAAAATATATTAAAAAAAAAAAAAAACCCTTCACCTCACTGAGTAGAATTAGAATTTCAATCTCAAATGAGAGATGGGAGGGATAGAAACTAACAATAGTCCTCTGAGGGCATGATTTATGTCAACACATATAAAAATAAATGAGAAGTGGGTTGAGGGACTTCTCTCATGGTTTCAAATAATCATATTGTTTTCAAGGTAACAGTAATCTAAGCCAATCCATTCATTTTACAAATTAAAAAACAAAAACAAACAAAACTTCTCTAGAAATCTAACTAGATCCAACTTTTCATGTATGAGTTGGAAGATAGTTGATGTTCCTAAGTTAAGGATATTAGAAGTGTGTAGATTGTGAAATAAACTATTCACCCTTTATGGCAACTAGACTAAAACACAATCCCTAAATAAATACACAAAAATGTAAGTTCAATAATTGAAGTCAATGTTGAAAGTTATATAAAAAAATTTAATCTTACGTGCATTGATCCTTAAACAACATGGGTTTGAACTGTACAGTTTCACGTATGTAGATTTTTTTTTCCAGTAAGTACTGTAAATGTATTTTCTCTTCCTTATGATTTTCTTAATAACACTTTCTTTTCTCTAGCATAATTTATATGGTATGTAATACATATACTGTGATTAATATATGTTAATCTACTGTTTATGTTATCGGTAAGGCTTCTGGTCAACAGTAGGCTATTAGTAATTAAGGTTCTGGGGAGTCAAAAGTCAAACACGGATTTTCAACTGTGCAGAGCCTGGAGTCCCTAATCCCTGCATTTTTCAAGAGTCAACTGTACTTGCTTTAATTTCCAGAATAATAATATTAAAAATTATAGCAATAGAAAAATATAAATAGCAGCAACCACTTGTTAAATACCAATTCTGTTTGTAAAACAATGTTTACAATTAGGTAGTAGTATCAGTCCTAGTTTACAGATGTGAAAAAAGAGACACTAAGAGGTAACTTTTCCAAGTTTACACAGCTATCAAGAGGCAAAGCCAAAATTTGAAGCATGATGTTCTGACTCTACAATCCTAACCATTATGTTTTGTCTAATGATAATTTGTTATTCTTCCTTGTGATTTACCAAGTGAAATGGGTTTTCTGCTCATCAAAACCTAAATTTATAATTAGTCTCTACCTAATGACCCATATTTATAATCAGTCAACTTACATCAAGAACAGTGAGTGCAGGCAGGAGTCCGAGATCATCTGAAAGTGACTGAAGTTTATTGTTGGATATTATTAATTTGGTCAAATCCGTCTGTTCCCACCATCGCTCAGTAGCACTGAATGAAAGATTCTGATTAGCTTCCTCAGGGATATCCAAATTTATTCTCCAGACACACTGAGGCACTATTTCCAACATAACCAGACCCAAAAAGAAAGACATAAAACAAGTAGTTAGATACAAGTGACATATTTTTATAACAGCTATTCAGTTTACCTACTGAAAAGCAATTGCTGAAACATTTAAATAAAAGAAAAAATACTTCAAAAAAAGTCAAATAACAATAACTTGCAACTAGATTAGAGTAAAAATTGATTTTATTAAAAAAAATATGTGAGCCCTAACCAGTTTGGCTCAGTGTATAGAGCGTCGGCCTGCAGACTGAAAGGTCCCAGGTTCGATTCCGGTCAAGGGATGTACCTTGGTTGCGGGCACATCCCCAGTTGGGGGTTATGCAGGAGGCAGCTGATTGATGTTTCTCTCTCATTGATAATTCTAACTCTCTATCCCTCTCCCTTCCTTTCTGTAAAAAAAAAAAAAAAAAAAAAAAAAAAAAAAAAAAAAAAAAAATCAATAAATATATTTTTTTAAAAACAACGTAATATGTATTTTACCTATTACACCTCACTATTATCTTTATTCAACTATATTTACTATACATGCAATCTACATAGCACCTAATGGAGAGAAAAAAGGGATTCTGACCATTAGGCTAACAGAGTACAGAAGGCATGAAAATCAGCATTTATAAGGTAATGTTATAAATTTCATAACAGAAGAGTGTGTGAAGTCTGAGAAAGCACTGGTATTAACAAAAATAGCTAATAAAAACCTCATAACAACTCTGTGAGGTAGGTGTTAATACTCTTATAGTTTCATAGGTGAGAAAAATGGGACACAGAGATAATTAGAATTTACCCAGCATTATACAGCTAAACACTAGAGAAGGGATTTAAACCTTGGCAAAGATATATAGTCTTGCCTCTCAGTGAGTTGGAAGGCATACCTGATTTTTGTAGCTGCTAATTTATCTGACATATTCAACAGAAATGATAACATATGTCCACACAAAGACTAGGCTTGAAAGTTCATGGCAATTTTACTCATAATTGCCAAAAATTAGAAAAAATCAAATATCTTTCAATAAGTAAATAGATGATTACTATCTATCTATTTATCTATCTAATCTATTCTCTCTCTCTCTCTCTCTCTCTCTCTCTCACACACACACACACACACACACACACACACACCCTATCTAATAAAATAGTAATATTCAAATTAACCATCACTCCAACACAAAATGGCCACCCCCATGTGGACACAATATGGCTGCCACAAGATGGCCTGCAGAGGATGACAGTTGTAGGCAATCAGGCCAGCAGAAAAGGTCAGGTGGAAGGGACCAGGCCTGTAAGAGAGAGCAGTTTTGGGGTGATTAGGCTTATAAGGGAAGGCAGTTAGGGGTGACCAGGCCTGCAGGGGAGGGAAGTTGGGGGCAATTAGGCCTGCAGGGGAGGGCAGTTGGGGGGACCAAGCCTGCAGGGGAGGGAAGTTGGGGGTGACTAGGCCTGCAGGAGAAGACAGTTAGGGGTGACTAGGCCTGCAGGGGAGGCCAGTTAGAAGCAACCAGGCTGGCAAGGAAGGGCAGTTAGTTAGGGGTTACCGACCCAGCAGAGGAAGGCAGTTGGGGGAGACCAGGCCTGAAGGGGAGGACAGTTAGGGGCAACCAGCTGGCAGGGGAGAGCCATTAGGGATGACCAGGCCAGGAGGAGAGGGCCATTAGGGGTGACCAGGCCAGGAGGGGAGGGCAGTTAGGGGCAATAGGGCTGGCAGGGGAGCAGTTAGGCATCAATCAGGCTGGTAGAGAAGTGGTTAGGGGGTGATCAGGCTGGCAGGCAGAAGTGGTTAGTGGCAATCAGGCAGGCAGGTGAGCAGTTGGGGGCCAGCAGTGCTAGATTATGAGAAGGATGTCCAACTGCCTGTCTAGGCTGGATCCTACAGGGATCGGGCCTATATGGGCAGTCGGACATACCTCAAGGGGTCCCAGACTTGGTTGAGGGACCTCCACTCCCCCCGTGCACGAATTTTGTGCACTGGGCCTCTAGTATATGTATAAAAGCCAAAATGACTGGCTGACTGTTCGACAGGTAGCTATGTTGGGCACTGACCACCAGGGGGAAGACACTCAATGCAGAGGCTGCCCCCTGGTGGTCAGTGTGCTCCCACAGCAAGAGTGCCGCTCAGCTGACCAACGGGCGCCAGATGCTGGGCTCATGGCTGCAAGCACAGCTGTGGTGGCAGGAGCCTCTCCTGCGGACAATCCCCCTGCACGCCCCTCCCCAATCTGGACCGGGACTGGGATCATAAACAGCATTGGGAATGACTGGGAGCAAGCCTGTGGCCACTTCTCAGTAATTGGCGTGCTGGTATCACCCTAAGACAGGTGCACAGAGACAACAGTGGAGCAGCAGTGAGCCTACTGAGCAGTGGTGGCAGCACAGCAGGGCCAGGATGAGCAGGAGTGGCACCCTGGGCCCAGCTCAGGCTCCTCCCGGGCAGCCTGCCACTTTGCACACTATTACATCCATCAAGGGATGTAGGACTGCTGATTTCTTTAGCCAATCCTGGCAAGCCAGGCCAAGGGACCCCACAGATACACGACCAGTGCACAGATTCGTACACTGGGCCTCTATTTTAAAAATAAAAAGGACGCTGAAACCGGTTTGGCTCAGTGGATAGAGCGTCGGCCTGCGGACTGAAAGGTCCCAGGTTCCATTCCAGTCAAGGGCATGTACCTTGGTTGCGTGCACATCCCCAGTAGGGGGTGTGCAAAAGGCAGCTAATCGATGATTCTCCCTCATCAATGTTTCTAACTCTCTATCCCTCTCTCTTCCTCTAGATAAAAAAAATCAATAAAATATATTTAAAAGAAAAAGGATGAGTCTCTAAAAACAAAATTAACAACAACAAAACAAAACAAAACAAAAAACAGTATACTAAGCAAAAGAAGCCTAAAACAAAAACAAAAAAAAACCAGAAATGTAAAATTCCATTTAAATGAAATTCTGGAAGAGACTAATCTCTATTTGTGTGGAGCACTGGGTTAAATTGACAGAAAAGGGGCATAAGAGAACTTTCAAGTGTTGGAAATGTTCTATAACTTGATTGTGGTAGTGGTTACACAATTATACATCTGCCAAAACTCATCGAACTATACACTTAAAATGGATGTAAATTATATCCCAGTAACATTAACTTGAAATAAAAAAGATGCCAATTTTTAAAATCCAGATAATGTAATATGTAAAAGTAACCGTGTGTGTGTGTGTGTGTGTGTGTGTGTGTATTAAACAAATATCCACATATACGTGTGTGTATATATAAAGGAGAAAAGACTTGGAATATAATCACAAAAATTTATTATTTAACAAATGCAATCCTATATGATCCTATATAATAAAAGCCTAATATGCAAATTGTCCCTGTGGTTGATCATTCCACCAGGAGACAGGGAGTTCAACCACTTGCCATGACATGTGCTGACCACCAGAGGGCAGCACAGAACATGTTGGGCATCAGCAATGCCCTGTGACTTCTTGCCAGCTACCTGGGGTTGGGGGTGATGGGGACAGAGGTGTGGTGAGATGTGGGGTGTCCACCGAGCTCACACTCACTCCCCTGCTACCCTCCCACTGGACTCCAGGACTTGCGTGCCGGGTGCCCACAAGGAACTAGCCCACACCCACGTGGCCTTTTCTGGGTGAGCCAGGCCACAGCCATCGGGACTACAAGGGCCAGTTGGGCTCCCCGTGGGTTCGCACAGGAGCCAGTCTGTGAGGCTGCCTGCTCAGTTTCCATGTGGTACCACTGGGCCCAGAGGACCACACTGTATCCCAGCCCATGGCATCTGGCTGCACTCACCTCATCTGTGTGGGGACTCGGGTGCTGTGTCACAAATGGAGAAGGATGCATGGGGAGACCAGGTGCTGCCAGGGCCCAGAGGTCAGCTGGGACCTGCCCTTTCATGCCCAATGCTCCTGCTATGAACACCGCCCAGGCCTAGAGTCTGCAGTAGTGTACAAATTTCGTGCACGGGCCTCTGGTTCTTAATAAATAAATTTGAATAAAGCTCATGTTAAAGTGCTTATGTGACTATGAGTTGTTCTAAGTGTCTCTTTGCTTCCTGGGTACCTAACTAGTACAATATCTGGAAGAAACACAGAGAGTATACAACAAATGAAATGCTGTTTAAATAAGTTTGTGGCACTCCCCATTGCCTCTCTGACCTGGGACCTCTGAACAGAGTCTTACAGGAAGCAAAGGAGTGAGCCTGTCAGGTATAAAGGAAATTTTTTCAAGCTTTGGGATAACCAAGTATATATGCATGTCATTTATAAATACTTATATTCCCGTAGATTAAAAGCTTTATCAGGGGGGAGATAATAGATCAACCGAAGGACTTGTATACATGCATATAAGTACAACCAATGGACTTAAAACTCTGGGGAGGGAGGGGATGTGTAGGAGGGATGGAGGGGAGCAAAAAAAAAAAATAAATAAAATATGTAAAAATAAATTAAATAAATAAATAAAAGCTTTATCAGGCAGAGCAGAGATTTTATGTCATACACCCTTTCATTCATTCAGCAGGATTTCTTGATCTACTCTATACATGTATGGCACACACAAAAAGCAATCATTCTAGAAGGTAAATGGACAGTTTTTAATTCCAGATAGAGAAGGACTATAATTAAAGGAAAACATTAGGGGAAGAACGATATATTGTCTCACTCCCCACTTCCCACTACCTTCCAGGCAGTCAGAACAGTATCTGGCTATTTATTATTCACTCATGGTATCCAAATTTGTACTCCAGCTTTTATTAGGTTCATCAGGATGGCCCCAAATTCACTCCCGTACGGCATCTCTATCCTGACCCGCAATTTGGGAAATAGGCGCATTATTCCTTGTATTTTAGGGCTGCTGAGGTGCACAAAGAAAAGTGTCTTGTCAGGGAACAGTTGGCATTCAAAAAGTTCACAAAGGAGCTGATAAAGTACAGAATTTTAGATCAAAATTAAAATGAGGGAAATGAGGGCCAAAGAAACAAAGTATGTGCCCATCATCTGATAGCTAATTGAGTCACACATTAGGCAGTTATCTCATGGGAATCCCGGAACGCTCGTCCCGTCTAAATTTTGGGGCATTCCCATCAGGGCCCGTTCCTGAAGAGAAAAAGTCGGAACCGAACCGGGCTGACCGAGCCAATGAGAGTGTGATGAGTGCCTCCGTGAAAGCCAGCGGGGTCCGGGCCGGAAGCGTGAGGCAAAGGGGGCCGAAGCCAAGCCAGGCTTTGAAAGGGAGGCTGCCTGGAACCAGGGCTTTCTGACAGGACGCAAATCGGGTCGCACCCCGGACCGTACCTTCGCTGAGGTTCCGCCCGGACAGGTTTAACTGGCCGCTCTTCCTCGCCGCCTTTAACAGCCCCTGGGGTACGGAGGAGGCCCCGCCGTCTCCCCTTTCAGCTCTGAAACCCGCTCGGGGGTCCCGCGCCGCGACTCCTTTCAGACGCGACATGTTTCAACCCCACCCACCCGGGTCCAGAAGCGGAGGGCCCTGCGCGTGACGCAAAAAAGGCGGCGCCGCCTTCGGCCCCGCCCCGCCCCCTGCGGCGCGCGCGTGCGCGCGCGCGCTCTGTGCGCGGGGCTCGTGGCCCCGGCGCGGGGCCTTCGCTCTCCGGCGGCGCGGCCTGGATGACGTCACTGCCCGTGACTGGAGCTGGAGGACAGAGGAGCCCTTCCCGTTGCCGGTGTCAGCCCCGGTCTCTTGGAATTACTTCGCTCAAGTAAGTGTGTTTAAGCGGCTGGGGAAGGCCTTGCGGGTTTAGGGTGTGCAATGTTACCGCGATGCCATCCTCCCCGTCGGTGCCCCCGCCGCCGCGGCCAGGGTGGCGGGAAAGAGTAACCTTTTCTGCTTCCTCCTTCTGGCCTGGACCGAGCGCGGGCCTGGACTCAAACTTGAGCCCTGGGCGCGGTCTGCAGCCTCGCTGGACCCTAAGCCTGTGTTGGGCGCTTCTGGCGGTGGCGCCAGATCTCCGCCCGGCGGAGGAAATAAAGCGGATTTCTGTTCCTCCGGACGGTACTCTGGTTCCTGAGTGGGTGTCCCCGGCCTGTGTGTGGCATGGAGTTCGTCGCCCAGCATAGGAAGTATAGTGTGAGGTGGACGTGTTTGGCAACAGGGAAGCTTAATAAATGTTTTCTAGGGAATCAGGTGGAGGCACAAGCTTCACTATAGTGAAAACAGCTTGGATTTTGGAAGCCCAGAGATACGAGTTCGAATCCCAGCTGCTTCTGTGTCTTACAAGCGATGTAGCTTTGGGCAATTTTACTTTACCTCTTTTGTTGTTTTTTTTTAATTATTTTTAAAATATATTTTATTGATTTTTCACAGAGAGGAAGGGATAGAGAGTTAGAAACATCGATCAGCTGCCTCCTGCACATCCCTCCCCCCCCCCCCCCCCCCCCGGGGATATGCCCACAACCAAGGTGCATGCCCCGGATCGGAATCGAACCCGGGACCTTTCAGTTCGCAGGCCGACAGACACTCTATCCACTGAGCCAAACACGGTCTCGGCTACTTTATCTCTTTTAAAGCTCACTTTTTTAGAAATAATAATTTGTATCTCATTTGGTTTTTAAAATCAGTGAAGCTAACGTTTTATATGTTGAGCATTTAGTGAAGAAAGACGCCAATCCAGAATAGAAAAGGAATTTTAAAAAATATTTTTATTGATTGCAGAGAGGAAGAGAGAGAGAAACATTAGAGATGAGAGAGAATCGTTGGTCGGCGGCCCCCTGCTCGCCCACGCTAGGGATCTCCCGCCACCGCCACCGGGGCATGTGCCCTGACCAGGAACCGTGAGCTCCCGGTTCATAATAGGTCGCCGCTCAGCCACGCCTGCCGGGCAAAGGACAGTTTTGTTCAGTTAGGTCGGTTTTCGTGGAATGTTAGTTTCTGTCTGAAGTGTAAGAACTTTAGACTTTTCTTTTGCCTGGAGTCTGCAGGAGTCAGGCTTGACGTCCCTCTCTCATGGCTATTTCTCTCTTATTCTTTTTATAAAATCTATTTTTAAAAATGAGTTTTAAAGCAAGAACCAAAGCAGATTATGCAAGATCACTAATGAGATCTCCCCTCCCTCCAGTTTGTCTTGACAATTTGATTATAGCTAGCTTATTAATATTAAGCCTTTACTAAGTGCCAATGCTAAAAATGCCTCTTTTTGCTATCTCTTATGTAGTGCAATGATCAATTTTGCAGCTGAAGGACTGATGCTAAAAGGATTAAGAAATTGACCTAAGGTCACAAGTTTCTATAAGTTCTATAGCCAGGAATTTGGACCGAGGTCTCTTTCCTAAATCTTTCTTGTTAATCCTTATTATTTGGCTAGTGGCTTTTATTTCATCATTTTAAACTTGCTTTTTAGTCTGGACCCATTTTAAGGGACCCTTCAAATATGTTTTAGGAGATATTTATTTATTAGAGAAAACCCTTTTCCTCTTTTGTAGGATTTAACCTACCTTTAAAGGATGAATTGCTCAAGTATCAAATTTTACAATAGCCACCCCTCCCCCTACAATAAGTTCTTCAACATTGCTTTAAATAACATGCAAGGTATAATTTGTTCATTTATTGTGCTTCTACTTGAAGTAAAATATTTCATTATTGGTGTTTAATTTACTCTGACGGGGTTTGAACCGCAACCTTGGCTTATCTGGATGACACTAACCTACTGAGCTACCCTGCCAGAGCACATTGTTGCATTTTGTTTAGGAGAAGCACAGCCTATTTAATGGAAAAGTACTTGTGAAAAATCCAAGTGACTTACATTCTTAGTAAACAACAATAGATATAAAGTGACATGTAAAAATTGTAGCAGTATGTATTCACAGTACCACTGGTATTGTATCTGTGAAGCAAGTGCAAATGGGTGAAAATTATTTCCTCGTGTTATTTGGGAAATTACATGTTCTATCAACTGTATTACTTTAGGAAGAATGCATTACAAATTTTTAAAAACAGTCCTTTTTCAACATGAACATATATGTTGAAAAATATTTAAAGTTAAAGTACTTGTTGTTTAAGTACCTTTTGCAACAAAATTTGTCTAGCTATAACTTACTCTTTTTTTTTTTTTTTAAGTAATGGGAGGCTTCACTCTTGTAACTTATTTGCTAAATTAAAAAAAGTGAAGACACCAAAAATATATTGAGCCTAAGAACTACATTGGCTGAAAAAAAATGTTTTGTTTTGTTTTCATAAGGGAAAATAAAACTATTATCAAAGTAAGAGTAGCTTATTTCCATCATTAAAATTTAATGACATTTTCAAACATAGCTGGGTTATTCTTATTAAACATTACTACATTTGTTTTCCATTCAGCTCTATAACTGACAACTTTTAAAAGTAGCAAGAAATGCTGTATTATTCCTTTGAAAGCATATATATTTTGCATTTGTAATCATGGTTTCAAATGTGGCTTTGATTTATATTTTGTTGCTATTGGAGTTGCTTGTGGCAATTTTTATTTTTTTATGGAGATAGTGCATTTTATTTTAGGTTATTCATTTGTGTACTTTTTGTTTCCATTGCTTCTCTTTCTTGTTTTTGAGTCATAAAGTAGTCATCTTACTCTAAGAGGTTTAATATTTGATTCAAATGTTGAGTGATATAGTTCTCTCTACTTTCAATACAAAAGAATTTTAGTACACCAGCTTTAAGAAAATATTTCCATTTTCCTTTTATAAAAAGGTTTTTATATGCTAGTGTTTTTCACATGAATAAAAGTGGAAGAAATACTTTAAAATATTTTTCTTTTAATCCTAATTTCAGTTTTCTTTTTTTGTTTGTTTTGTATTGGGGGGGGGGGAAACAAGCTAAAATCAGGGTGGGCCGAAACCGGTTTGGCTCAGTGTATAGAGTGTCGGTCTGTGGACTGAAGGGTCCCGGTTCAATTCCAGTCAAGGGCATGTACCTTGGTTGCGGGCACATCTCCAGTAGAGGTGTGCAAGAGGCAGCTGATCAATGTCTCTCTCATCGATGTTTCTAACTCTCTGTCCCCTTCTCTTCCTTTCTGTAAAAAATCAATAAAATATATTTAAAAATAATAATAAAATCAGGGTGGTTGTAAAGCATTCTTATGTCATTAAATAAAAACATTATGGTATCATTTATTGTTTTTTCTCAAATCAGCTGAAAATGTTTCCCATTATTCCAGTGATTCTTACATCTAATAATAATAGCTATTCTCTTGCTCATTTTTCAAGATTAATGTGTTCTGTGGCCTAAAGTCTTAATTTTAATATTAATTGTATAGGTTTTATGAGTTTGTTCGCTTTAAAATGGTAAAATAATACAGAGAGAAAATTAGGGCACCAAACCCTAGGCCTAGAAAGTACTTGAGAGTAGCATTCTATTTTTGTTTTAAACACATATAAACCCACTACCAAATAAATCTGTTTAAAAATTAGTTCGATTAAAATCCACTAAGTTAGAAGTTGACTTATATCATCCCCTGCCAATAGCTTTGTCCTATTGGATTCAGCTTGCAACCTCATTTGCCCAGTACTTCTGAAAGAGCGTGACATTGCCCCCCTGGCGTGGCTCAGATGGTTGAGCATAGTCCCACGAACTGAAAGGCTCACAATTAGATTCCTGGTCAAGGCACATGCCTGGATTTTGGGCTCAATCCCTAGTAAGGGTTGTGCAGGAGGCAACGGATCATGTTTCTCTCTCACATTGATATTTCTCTCTCTTTCTCCCTCTCCCTCCCTTCCTCTCCCTCTCCATCTCCATCTCTATATCTCTCTTTCCCCATTCCTCCCTTCCTCCCTCCCCCCTCTTTTCCTCTGAAAAAAAGAAATCAATAAAAACATTTTTTTAAAGTGACATAAATGATAATACTTGGCATGTATTGTTCTATATGGGGAAAGCTCCTGTCTTATGAAGATAAGCTATGGTCCCTGAGATTATTTTTAGTGTCCACTTAAGTTGATAAGGATGGGAAATGTGAATAATTTGATAGCTATTGACAATCGCAATCAGGTTTTTATTTTTAAAAATTGATACTCAAATATTGAGTTGGAATATTGATACTCACAAATACAACTGATATAAATTCCAGATTAATTAATTTTTTTCTACATCAATTTTTCTTAATCCTTTAAAATATCATAATTAAATTTGAAAAATATCATCTTTGGCGTATTAAAATACTAGTGAACATTTAAATACTTGGTCTTACAATGCAAATCTGGGAACCCAGCTTTACTCTTCATATTTCTAAAGATATGTGTTTTACACTCATCACTAAATTTATCTACAGTTAATATAGCTTTGACTTTTTTCATTTTAGAGATGCTAACCTTTTTGCTTTTCTTTTAACTTCTCGTTTTTTTAGGAAGTTCCTTTCCACTATTTCTTCCCTCCTTCAAAATAATTATTTGATCAATGTCTCCACATGCTTTACACTTAAGTTTGAGCAAATTGTGGCTTGAAACTAACTTCATAGTTTCAAGTGA